GAAAAACTAAAGATCAGAAATGTGTAAACTGATTTTGTTCTCTTTAAAATGGGTGCTCTGGATCAGAGACACCATGGAGCCTGCATTAGGAATCTGCATTATGCAATGCTAATGCTTAAGACACAGCCACAAACAACTAAGTTTTCACCTTCAACCTTTTGTTTCCAGTCTTGCAACTGAAAGCCTAACATTTAGTCATACTTAAACACTCCCTGCCCGCCAATTTACCTTTAAAACTGCCTGATGTTTGAGGAATGGTAACGGAAACCAGAAAAGTTGAGGCACTCCATATTCAACAAAGCAGAAAATTCAATTGGTATGTGTAGGATCCCCAAAGGATCTGCAGTACAGATCACATGTTAAGAATTTCAGAGTTGGGGAGGATTTCCTGCAACTGACAGGATTGTTTGGAGCATTTCAAAGTGTCAGTTTTTAGGACAAAGCATCCTACGACCAATATAAGCCAGCACATCCTTCACTGCCCACCCAGAATAAACAGATATGTGGTTGGACCCGATGATCCTGGAGGTCTTTTCCAACTTTAATGATCCTGTGAACCCTCTACGATTTATAAACAAGAAGCTCAAAGAAGTAATTTGCTTCTCAGTAAGAAGTGGCGGCTGCAGTTAACTAAATCTGTGAGTATGGAGCCATTTACATTCCTGTAAATAAAACTGCAGCTCAAAATCAGTTATGTCATGATGGGGTTGCCTAAAGGACTAAGCACACTGCTGGAACTTCTCAGACCAAGAGAGAGCATCGTTAGGACAGTCCCAGTGAACCAGTACTACTGAGCCGCAGGTAAACAAAACAGAAATTGCAAAAAGTAAAGAAAGCAAGAAGAAACTAAAACAGGGCCTGAAATAGCCAAATATTTGCTGTATGGAAGGAATAGCCAGTACAGAACCAGTAAGCCTGAACAGAAGGGTTGAATTGCAGCAAAGATCTAAAGCGTTAAAGAATGACAGAGCGTAACAGATGCCTACAGCCTGGATATAGACCAGAACTGATCAAAAGACTTAAATAAGACACATACAAGAGCATATCCTGTTATCTACTGACACCTATAAAGATGAAACAGAAAAGTCCTGGTCCAAATAAACACAAAAGAAAAACTTCTTAGCGAAAAGCAAAAGGATTGCTTCAGATCTAATTTTGTGGCTCTTCATTCTGTTTATTTCAGCCTCATGTGATTCCGAACACAGGTCCTGGGACTTTGCCCTAAGCATCAAAATACTTCTGGTTTTGGCATCCTCCAAAGCTCAACCCGTGCATAAAGCACGTGGGGAAAATCTTACGTCAGGAATAAATAAAAACCATGCTATATCTCCTGACGACCCTAAATATTTTATGTGCATAAACTGAAATCAAGACTGAAAAAAACAGCGTGGCAGTCCAGATCAGAACCTCAAGGCAGGGACACTGCCACACATACCTAACAGCAAGGAGTTCACCAGCCTGGGCAGTCCTCAATGCCCTCGCAGTGAGTTTCCCATTCCAACTGTAAGACACGAAGAAGAGTGAATTATGAGAATATCCAGTGTAGCAATGCATACAAGGGATGTTTACCGTTTCCCGCATCAGAACTGTAAACATGGCAGCAGATTATGACTGTTAATCTATGAGTCAGAGGAGCACAAACTTCCTATTTGTTCAGCATGAAAATCGGACTCTCAGATGCACACGGAGCTCTGAGTTGGGCATCTCCCGTAGCAATGAGTATGCTAAGACATATCAGATGATTTCAGTGGGGAAAATAAGCCACTATGCATTTATTTTTTTTTAATTCCTGGTGGCCCTGCAGAGTTAACGGCACAGGACAAGTGATCTGCTCCTGATTTTTCATCATATAGCAACAGGAGGACCACTTGCTAATTCCTAATCTGTTCTGTTTAGTTAGACGAGCTTAAGGCAATGGAACATTTTATGAGAATCGTTAGATCATAACTTGCCCTCCAGGAACATCAGCAGTGATGTAAGACAACTGGAACAAACCCAGCTTGATCGGCTGAACAACTTCTGGAGTTCACAGCTAAAAATAAAGTATGGTTCCCTGAAAAGCAAGCATACTTCACCATCTGGGAAATGACAGAACCACCACACCCCAGCGTGCTCCATGGCCATATCCACACAGAACATCATCTCCAAACACAGGACTCATTCTTACGTCGTTTGCACTAACGTTACAGATAGAACTACAAAATTCAGAGGAGTTATTTGCAGTTCTTACCTATATGAAACTGAAATCAGTTGATCATTTTTAAAACATTTCTTACCAACTTTACAAAAAAAAAAAAAGTTTCAAACTGAATTAAAAATAAAGCTATGAAAACTTAATCCAATCTATCTAGACTGTTCATGTTTCCCCCTTCCCAGTTTCCTAAGCTCTGCTTAGTCTCCATTTTGTTTCTAGGGAGTATCTGATCACTTCTGCGCATATTCACCTCATGTTATAACAGTCAGTTATGATATGCAAAAAAAATACTTATTTAAAATAACTCATGTTAAGATTTTTTTTTTTAGCATGATCTAATTTGAGGTTAGATTTTACTCACGTGATAGATTTTACTTAATATACTGATACATCCTATACTGAGAAAGGGTGAAGTGAACTTCACCTCACATTTCAAGTTGAGACTAGTAAGGCATGGCAAAATAAAGTGCTTTCATTACATAAAGGAGCACAGAGCATACCTGGTGTACATGCAATTACTTGCTAATCAGAATTACTGTACTTAGGAAGCCATCATTTCATTGTCTAAAACTGAGAAAGGACAAACACACCGCTCAGCAAACCAGCTGCTTTATCAGCAAATCTGACGAACAGCACACTGAAGGCAATCCAGGAAAAGCCAGGTACACTACGAAACACGTTTTAAGAGCTGACTCACTCTTTGGCACTAGCTTTCAGTTACTGAATTCCCAAGAATTCCTCCACGTTTCAGAATTGACAAAAAGAAACAGTCATCTAAGGGCATTCCCGAGAACATATGGGATTAGTTTCTTACTCAGGATTTACGCAGGTCAAATTTCCCTTAAGTCAGTGGTGTTTTCCTCGGGGGAGTGCTTGCTTTGTCCAAAGATCTATTAATGTCAGGTTTTCAGTAACCAGATGCAATGCTTGACTTCAATATTCTGGTACTATATAACAAATAAAACTATTGTAAATTATCCTTTTTGATAGCTACCAAAACTCCTTGATGTTTGGTCTAAGCACATCACAGCCACATCTGCAGACACTTGGGATTTCTCAATTCTGTTTCCTTGTAATTTGCTGTCTGAACTGGCAAGAAACCAAAGAGATTTCTCCATTACTAGCACTTCACCATTCATTTCTTCAATAAATTTTATCAGCATAAATTTTACCAAAAAGCAATTTTGCTCCCACTTTGCTCCAATATTTTCACTTAGCTCTGACTGTAGTACAGAGATACTGAAAATATAAAATAAAGTCTACATTGCTTCTTGCTTTTCCTACTAACAGATATGAAAACCACAAAGTGCTGGCATTTTTAAAGGAGGAATTTTTCTTTCTTCCCAGCAAAAAGTGTCCCAAGGTAGCAGGACTCAACTCTGTCCTTCAAATATAAAGTCAAGAACTGTATTTCCTCATCTTCTGCACATACGATTTTCAGTGTGTAATCACAGGGCATAAATACTATTTATAGGATGAAATAATAAATGCACCACAGACTTGTGTCTCGGGCATGTGTTTTATCATTTCTGTCACACAGAGCCTTCTATCCCCATAAAATTCAGTCATATCTTTAAGAATAACAAAACTAATGGACCATTTTGGGCATATTACACCCAATCTTTTGGATAACCCTTTCTAGCATAATTGAGGTGACAAAACAATGACTTCCTGCCTTTCTGCTACTGCGGAATTGAATCAGAGGATAATTCAAAATTGGGAGGGTCCTCCGGAGGTCTCTAAACACTGCTCAAAGCAGTCCCAGTGCTGTATTGTGTTAACCAGGAAGATGTTTTCCTTGCATCCAATTAGAACTTTTTATTTCAATTTTAGCCTTTTGTGAAGGTGGTGTAAATGTTTTACCTTGCATTTTACATTCACCATTATCACGAGGCCTCTGATCCACTGCTGCTGGCACTGAGCACCTTGACTGCAGTTCAGGCTCCTCTACATTCATCTTGCATATTTCCTGCATATTTCACACAAATTCATCACTGTGCCTTTACGGTGACAGCTGCGAGTGGTTAAGGTGCTAACACAGGCAGCCTGCTCTCTCTCGCACTGCCTGAAGTCATCTTTTTGTCCTTGGTACACTGGCATCCAGCGTTTTTAGCTCCATCTGTAATTCTGGTCCAGGCGCATCTTCTGTGATCACACTGAACCTAGTGCAATGCGCTTTGTGTCTGCATATAGAGCTCCCCGGTGTGTAATTAGACACATACATACATGTGTATAATAAACGTTATCACAAATAACAAACGCTGTGGGGCCGGCTGGGCAGCGGGGGGTTGAGGGGCCGGGCCGGGCGCCTCAGCTCAGCTCCGCGGGGCGGGAGCCGCCTCAGCGGGCAGGGGGCTCCTGGGGCTCCGTCAGGGGGTCGCCGCCGGCGAATTAAAAAAAAAAAAAAAAAAAAAGTCGGGGGAAAGTCCCCTCGGTGCGCCAAGGAAATTCCCGGAGCGGCTCCCGCTGGGACGCGGCGCTGCGGGGCTTTCGCAAGGCCGGGCGAGCCCCGGCTCGCAGCCCCTCTCCCCCTCAGGCGCCATGTTGTGTGCGTGCTGTCCCCCATTGCCTCCCCCTCGCCCCACCGCAGCCTGCCCCCGGCTTTCAGTCCCGTTCCCCCCACCACTTCACAGCGCCCTCGGGCCGCCCTTTCTCCTCCCCGGGCTTCCCCGGGTGTCTTTGGCCCCGAGGTGGCAGCAAGCCCCGGGGGAAGCTCAGCCCTCCCCCGCTGCGGGCTTCCCCTCGGCGGGGCTGAGGGCAGCGGCGGCCGGGCGGGCAGCGGGGCAGGGCGGCAGGAGGAGCCTGCGAGCCCTTAAACGGCAGCGGCCGCCCCCTGCCTGCCTCGGGGAAGACGGAAGGGCGAAGCTCCAGCAGCAGAAGCAGCGACAGCAGCGCTACCAGCAGCAATAGTCCCGGCCGTGCCTGGCTCCTCGCTGGTTTATATGCACCTGGCCGGGTTGTTGCTCGCCCCGGAGGAGAGAGAGAAGAAGGGGCAGCGCCGCGAGCGAGGCTCGTCCCCCCCCGCCATGTGCTCGGTGAGCGAGGGCAGCAGCACGGACCCGCTGGTGGCTCGCTTCAGGCAGGTGGAGGAGACGCTGGAGAAGCTGCACCGCGAGAACAGGAGCCTGAAGAGCAAAGTGCCCCGCTACAACGCGCTCTGCACCTTGTACCACGAGTCGGTCCAGCAGCTGAAGCACCTGCAGCTGCAGCTGGCCGCCAAGGACGCGACGATCCGGGAGCTGAGGAGCGGGCTGGCCCGCCAGCAGCCCACCGAGCCGGGGGCCGAGCCCGCCCGCTCGCTGGTGGACAGCCTGCTGGAGCAGCTGGGGCAGGCCCGGCAGCAGCTGCGGGACAGCGAGAGGCTCTCGGCGCAGAAAATGGAGACCCTGAGCCAGGTAAAGAGAGGGGAACCCACACCCGAGGGGGCCCCGGGGCCGGGGGGCGACCCCTCGGATCCGGCCCCGGTGCCTCGCCTGAGGCGGCGGGACCCTGAGGCGGGCAGCGGAGCCCCCTCAGCCCCGCCGCCCCTCTCCGCCTCGTTGAGGTTGAAAACAGGCTGGATTTTCCTATTATTCTTAATATTTTGAATATATTTTTTAACGCAGCCGCGCGGCAGGAGCATAGGGTGGCGTTAGAAATCTCCACGGAACTGCTTTTGCCAGCAGCAGGAGAATGTAGTAAAAAGAAATAAGCAGCCCGCAAACTAAGTGTGGAAGTTCCCTATTAATTAAAGACCCTCCTCGTTATCAGATGTAACTCTAAGACAAACAACTGGTGCCACAGCTTTTTTCTATTCAAGTATATATTTTTTTTTAAAAAAGTGCACTTTAAAAAATGGCTGACGCTGTGTTGACATTGAGATCCTGCCTCAATACGTGCTTTGAAGAAGGAACCAGCAAGTCTGCACTGTGATGAGACAGACAGGGGGAAATAGGAGCTCTCTTGTGACAAAACAGTCACAAAACTGCCTCCCCTCCCACCCTCCACCAGCTCTATTTTTGGTCCTGCCGTGAAGACTTTCCCATGTTGGGTCTGAAGGGCTTAATGAATTTTGAAGCATTTCTTTCTGTATGAAGCTGGGTGAAGGAATTTCCAAACCAAGAAGTGGTACTTAAAATTGAAACAAGTATTTTTGTCATAAGTAATCTCTTGACCTAATGCTTATACAAAACATTTTCCACATATGACACTCACCTCCAGTACATTTAAATATGTTCAAGTTTGGAAATTCGTAATGAGAGATGATCTTGGTGACACTTTGCAGACAGATAACAAACCGGTGGCATCTGAATGCCTGCTGTAGCCTGATGCAGAATAGCTTTAGTCTATGGCAGTGGGGAAAATTCAGCATGATGTGAAAGTGTAAACATCAGCAATAAGAGCATATGCTCCTTCTGTAAGTTAGCCTAACAATATATTTTAGAAATAACCGTTTTATGCCTTGCCATAAATAACAAAATCATCGTCGCTAAAAATAACAACAAGGTACTTTCTGAAGTCAGATGCCTACATGCTGGCAGAGTGCTTCCTGTGGTTTATGGCCCTGTTAGTGCTGCCGAAGAACTGGAGCAGAGTTGAGCCTCTCTGTTTCGTGGTCTGTGCTGGTACCCAGGGGAACAGCTCAGCAGAGGTCTGGACTACCAGCAGCCTTTACTTTTGGAGGATGACAAGCAGAAGCTGATTGTGGCAAAGTCAGGGCTGGCGTACTTGAGGTGCATGGTACCTCTGAGTGATCGTACTTGAGGTGCATGGTACCTCTGAGTGATCGTACCTGGCTGTGAGCAGACTTCTTCCTTCTCAAAGCACCTGAGATGAGAAGTTAACTTAATGCTGTGTGGATGATCCCCCAGACCCTTCTAATCCAACAAGAGGGTGCAGCAAGGAGATGCATCTTTGTTTTGTAAGAATGCATCAAGCCCCCATGCATGGAGCCAGCTCTGGACAAAATACTGATTGCTGCCACATGGATTTCATTTAATCTTTGCTTGTCCTTACCACTCCTCCTTTTCTAGGTGGGGAAGTTGTTGTGTATACACTCTGACTTGTCTTTGTCACAATGCCAGGCAATGACTATGCTTCACTGTTTTTTGGTATCTTTCCAGTTCCAATTTTTTGAGGCAAATCTCTACTATCTGCTAATTTGAAATGTAGGACTATTAAGCATTTCTCAGTCTCCATATCTATTCTTTTAAGCTGCTTGTTTATTTCTAATTTTTAGCTCCGATGCAAGATTGTTATAAAACCTTCACAGTCTTTTGCTTGTTGTTTCTGAGTTCATCATTCTGCTGACCAGGAAGTGCTTTTATAGTTGTCTGGGTAGTTTTTGATCGATTGATCTGTCAGTTCTAAGGTTGAGTGTTTATACAGACATTAATGGGATTTTTGCTTTTTAAGTACTTGGCAGGGAACGTAGGAGCAGTATGGGATTGCTGCAATGGGAAATTCAACCTTAGAAATGTTTTGGCTTTTGAGTTCACTTCACTTTAAGTAACTTCCCCTCCCCCTTATGTTTAGGAAGTGCAGAAGTTGAATCAGCAACTAGAGGAGAAAAATGGAGAGATACAGCAGATGATAAATCAGCCTCCATATGAAAAGGAGAGAGAAATCTTACGACTTCAGAAGAGCTTGGCAGAGCGGGAGAAGGCTCAAGCCACCAGTGATGTTCTGTGCCGTTCACTCACTGATGAAACCCACCAACTTCAACGCAAATTAGCGTCCACAGCAGAAATGTGTCAACATCTGGCAAAATGTCTAGAAGAGAAGCAAAGAAAAGAGAAGGGGAATTCAGATGACCAGATTGCTACTGAAAGTTCTAATCAGGTAGTTTTACTGCTACTGTGTTTTGTGCACATGTTGTTAGCTTCTAAGGTGTTTATTACGACATAAAACTTAGAGAGAAACAGCCCTTTGAATAATTCCATGTGTGGTGCAAAGGCTACCATGGCAACCTCTAAATAACTGATTACCAAAAACTGAGGATAGAAGCTGTCGTCAGTCACTTGTGCTTTGGCTATTTCATGTGTTTATCTCCTTATCAAACATATTTTTTTGAGGAGAGGATCTTGAGAGGTCCTCTGTAACCTCAGCCATTCCGTGATTGCAATCCTTCCCTGCAGGAACTGCAGCCAAGTACCGTATTTATGTCTGTGTGCATCACTAGATGGTGCTATGTTTTTGAAGATGCTGATAACTTGTTTAAGCATCTAAACTCACAAAACAAAGAAAAATCACTTTAAAAGTAGCTTTTATACTAAAATCTAGAGCATGTGGTCTTCTCAGGTCAGGATCTGGCTTTACACGTGTAGTACAGACCTACAGAAAGTTGGTTTCGGAAGAACTGGGCAAGGTGTCTCACCTATTTTTGTTCTGGGGTTCCCCTCTGCCCTCCCATTGCAAGGTAGCACTTTGCTGTCCTGAAGCAGTTTGTCTAAACACATGTGCTGGAGAGAAGTGGCAGAAATGCCACTGAGAAGGACAGAAACACATGGATTGTGTTGTGCTTAGCTGTGGCTTTGCAACACCTTTTCTTTCACCTTAGCTGAAGCTTTTCAGTGCAGGATAGACAGAGTTGTTCTATTATTCCACAAATCATGACAGTTCAGTCACTAGGTAATTCATGATACTATAAGCAAGCAACATTTGAGGTGCTGCCTCCAGTAACAGATAAGAATACTGAATAGGGTGCTATAAACAGTTCTCACAAAAAAAAAGAATAATTTTCTCATGACTTTATGGTTGTGAAGTGTAACGCTGTGTTCCAGATGACCACTCACCTATGCTTTTATGATTAACTATATGCATATATCACTTCCACTTGTTGAAATGTTCCAGGAGCATTTCCAAAGAAAATATAATTACGTTAAAACTAGCTCTAATAAATAGAGGTGAAGTAGATGTAAGAGAAAAGGACTTTTTGAGGGAAACTTGAAACTTTTAGTATTATCAGGCTTTGTGTAATTGACAGACAGGAAACTTGATTGGCTTTGATCTATGTAACAAGTAGCTAACCTTGTCCAGCGGGGACTTCCCTGTTGAAGAAGAGAAATTTCAGATGCAAGTACGAGCTGATTCTAGGGAATTTTGTACAAAAGTGTTCTGTATTACTCACGTACACCGGGGTTTTTTTAAGCAGATGTCACAACTGTAAAAAAAAAAAAAAAAAAAAAAAAAAAAGAGTATCCTTTCACACAATGTATCAAACAGGTTTTTCTATAGTAACTTCTTAGTCCTAGCCAAAATTGACAGTAATAACAAAGTAATATGCAGGAATGGATGTGTTCTTGTCTGGAGAGGGAAATGCAGTTTCCAAAGATGTTATGGCAACTGTTAAGCACAGTTGTGAGCAGGGTAGTCCCTCTGGCATGTAAAGGGTGGGGTATTTTCCTTGTTGGCTTCAGTGTGGTCAGAGCTTGTAAGACGTTTCTATGACACCACGTGGACATATCTAAAAGATATCTAAGATTGTAAAACCTGACTACATTTTGCTTATTATGCAAATAGTATAGCATGCAGCTTTTAGTGTTAAAGAAATGCAGTTTATAGAAACAAGCAGGCTCGTGTATGTACATATTTCAGTGATGGCAAGTATTTTTAGAAGAAACTCATATAAGCTGACTTCCAGTACAACAGCATAGCTAAGTAACATCCGGAATTCTTATGTTAAAATAATGCTTCCTTTATCTGAAAATTACAGGTGTTAGACAATGAAACCTCACTTCAAACCCTTATCTGCAAGCTGCAAGATGAAAACAGAATGTTAAAACAAAAAGTAGCACACGTGAGTACTTTCATTTGTACAGCTTAAAAATTGATTTTGAATTACAGGAAGTTTGGGAATAGCTTGGGCCTGGTTAATCTAATTAAAGGGTAGTTTAATGCGAGTCCCAAGTTGGTTTTAGTCATAAAGCACATGACGTGCAAGCACAGCACAGTCTTATTTCCTTGGCTAAGAGCAGCCTATTATTTTAAATATATTTTGTTTTTAAAAATGTGCTGCAGAAAAAAAAATGTTGTCCTTTCTATGCATCAGGATTCCACTCCAGAAGAACAGCACTAGCCATAGGGTGACAGCCAACCCCTCCTATTCCTTATTAATTAATACTGTCTCTGTGGATTGGCAAATAGGGACGGGTGCCTGTGAAGAGCCTGGCATATGGCATAATCTTCCCCTCTCACACAAAGTAGCTCATCCATACTCAGTAGCTGAGTTAGCATATTATATATAAACAAAAGTACACCTATATACTTTAATATATATGCATTATATATTATATGTAATTTTAGTCCTGCTAACATAGACAGCTTATGGAGGCTTGGATGTTTGCGTCTTTGTGTTGTGACTCCACTGTGTGATCTTTCAGGTGGAAGACTTAAATGCAAAATGGCAGAAATACGATGCCAGCAGGGATGAGTATGTGAAGCGGCTCCACCTGCAGCTAAAAGAGCTCAAGTCCCAGCTGGAGCAGCAGCACGGTGTAGCTTCAGCACAAACCAATTCCGAGCTGATGCAGAAGGAGATATTCCGGTTAAACAAGCTACTGGAAGAAAAAATGAATGAGTGCATCAAAACAAGGAGGGAATTAGAAGATGTGAAGAAGGCTAGTGAAGGAGACACTGAGCGCATACAAATGCTGGAGCAACAGGTTAGTAAAGTTTCTGTTTCCCCTGGAGGTGGGAATTCTGTTTCTTCTCAGACCACAGAAATCTATTGGGGGGAAAAATCAAACTATTTTTTTATACCTTTTACCACTTGTCTTGCCACATTTGGATATACAGGTAATTAATGCCACACTTGGAAAGAAACACCACTTAAAAAACTGCATGTGGGTCTGCTGGCTTTAATATTCTGTGGTACAGATCTGAAAAAGAAATACAAATGCCTTTAAAGCACAGATATGATAGAGAAGATAATATTGAGATTCTGGGAATAAGTGCTTACAAACAAAAGGAATCTCAGCCTCAACTATGTAATCTAACCTGCCATGCTCTAACTTCATCAAATGCTAACATAATGATTCTTTTTCAGGTCCTAGTTTACAAAGACGATTTCACATCTGAGAGATCAGACAGAGAACGAGCACAGAGTAAAATACAAGAGCTTCAGCTAGAAGTCGCATGTCTGCAACACCAGCTGGCAAGACGACAGGTAAGAAAGCAAAATTCTCGTTTCTCCAGTAAGTATATCTCATCAGGATTCAAGACTAAAATGTACTTCTAAATACCTTTAAAAAAACCTTAGTACTTCTAAAGCTGCACTGAACTGAAATGGCTATCAAAAACTTGTATTCTTTGAAAGTCAAGCTCTAGCAGAGATGCGCGTCAATACATACATATTCCTTTCCAGTCCATTTTTTCCCTCTTTTTGTTGACCACAATAACAGTGAATTCTCATAAGGGAGAGAAGGACAACTGACTTGTGTTAACAGTGGCATCTGGAAAGTAGCATACTAGCTATATCCTGTTGTCTAGAAGCCTGCTTATGACTCTTTGAAATAAAACTGCAAAAACTGATGGCTATTTTATTTGCAAATCTTCAGGTGAACCCATAGGCAGTGTTTCAAATAAAGGTGATATTTTATTTTAAAGAATGGTTTTTTTCAATTTCAAAAGCTCTTCTTTCTCTTTCTAGGACTCAAGAGATACAAGTACTCATTTCCGAGTTCACGTTGGTAACCAAAATCATACGCATGTACAGACGAGCACTGAGCATCTACGAGGCAACAGCCCAGGCCAGACAGGCACGAGAAAAACACCTTCACAGTCTGAACAGACTTCTCCACCTGGAGACAATGGAAACTCAGGAGCAGAGGGCAGGGGACAGGGTGAACTTCGATGCCCTCACTGTATGAGGTTTTTCAACGATGAACTCAGTGATGAATTTCTCAAGCACGTTACTGAATGTTGTCAGTGACAATGTGATGTGAGGCACATAAGAAAATCACTACTCTACAGACTGCAAAACTTGGACAAATGGACACCTCTTAGTAATTAGGAAGATGAACAGTATCTACCTCTTATTTGATTTCACCTTCTCTTGGACTGTACAAAAGACTTCAAGGTAAAGCAAAGTATTTTCATGAAGAATTATTTTTGACAACTACAAGGCAGGCAAGCATAATGCAAATTCTACTCCAGACTAAAGAAAATGAAACTTACAGCGGTAGCTAGCTTCAGAGTACAGCTTGGCTCTTACTGGAGAGTAATTATCCACAGCAGTCTGAAGGCTTAGGAAAAGAAGTCACTGAACTTGAAAACTTCCTTCTCTTCTGAAAAGATAGTGTGAAGAATAGGGGAGGAACAGCTTGACGGAAGAAAAAGACCTCTTGTGCTTTATCTGGATTAAAAGAGAATATTTTCTTGGCTATTGAGACCGAACTTTCAGACATCTTATTTGAAAATCCCTGTGTTCAACTGAAATCAGGAGAAGTGAAAAAAAAAAAAAACATACAAGGGCTGGTTGTTAACTAAAACTAGCCTGTCTTTTTGCACAGACAATGTACAGGGATATTTATTTTTTTTTTCTGTGCCATAAATATTTCACATAACGTGTATTTGTGTAATTATTGATTGAATTCTAATTCTACCAAAGTGTTATTTTTATAATAAAAGTGATTGTGAAGTTGCTTTACTATATTAATGTAGTCAAAAATGTCTCTTTCAGTGCATCATAGTTCAAGTAACTACACTTCAGGGCTAACTAAATGTCATGGTTTCAGGTATGAGTTGTTCCATTACTGCAGTGACAACCAGTGTCTCAAACTGTATTCAAATAGGTTGAGAGTCACTCATGTGAGAGGACAGATGATCTTTCAGCTGTATGAGAATCCATTTAATGCACTAACCTGCCATGCAATGTTTGTGACAAGGCCATTGATAACTTAGTTTTTTTCTTGTCATCTCTAAGTTGGAGATAACTTGAGCATAGAGCTGAGGGACTGTTTTGAGATGTATTTTTAAAGGTAAGGTTGTACAAACATAATGGGGCTACATTTTTCTTCCCAGCATTGGCTCCAGGTAGTTCTGACTAGGCAAGAGCTGCAGTTAAGGACTTTACAGCCAAAGTTAAAGGCCTACTCTAACCATGACCTTCCATAATTAAACAAAAGATCCAGCCACCTTCCTTTGTATAACACCCATCTTCTGCTTTGTTTCCTTTCCAGTTCAGAGGACTGTGAATATTTTACTTTGCTTACCCTTCTGTATTTCTATTACCTTCCTTCTTTCCTGAGTGCTTCCAAAATAAACATTGCTGTGATTTCCTACAGCATGAACTCTTAGTCTCCCATAGAGCACATTTATCCTGATGACCATCAGCCTGCTCAGAATAAAAGCCTGCCTCCCTATTTGTTTACTTCTCCAAGCAGCACTGAATTTTGATCAGTCTTCCTTTCACTGTTTCCACGGTTTCAGCACAAGCATAGAAGATGCTCTTCACTGTGCTCCAGGGTCACAACACCGTAAGGCCATAGCACACACCTTTTTCCCAAAAAATAGGTAACCGAGCAACACAGCAGTCTGACCCATATTTAATGTGGTGTGAACCTGGAGGGTTACAGCACAGCTGAAAGAACTGTGGTGTCACAGCTGTTTTCCTTGGATGAAAGGAAAACAAATTTTTGAAAGAAAAAAGACATTGGGGCTTGCTTGTATCAGAGCAGTGAGTCCACTTCATCTCAGGAATCACATACAAAATTCTGTGATGAACAGCTACAGATCTCTAAGCACATCTCTATTATTTCATCATCCTTTTACAGCCCCAAAAGAAGCTGATTGTATGTGCCAATGTTGCTTCAGGTGGGATACTACCAAAAAAAGATGGGTGGGCGATTGCATGCAGCCTGCAGGTGCAATGGCTTTTAATGGTGTGATCTTTAACCGATTGTAAACCAGTGATTACTGGTTTGTTCTTCCCAACACAGCCTGCACAAACATGCACTGATTTTTTTTTTTTAGGGTGACCATTTTATACATTACCTTTTAAGGTCTCAGAGATCAGATGTAGCCCACACAATATAGGCTGAGAAAAATATGATTAAGCTTCCTGTGGCATAAACTAATCTCGCAGCAGTTTATTTCTTCTGACTGTTCTCAGTAGACAAGTCTTGTTTATGACTTCAATGTACATCTATACCATATTGCCAGTGATCAATCCAGTAGAATAAGGGTTTTTTATTTATTTTTAAGTGATTCACTCTGCAAAACAGTTACAAAAAGACAAATAGAACAGTAAATTCAATCTTGGCATTCCTTTTTTTTTTTTTTGTTGCTTGGAGCTGATCACTGCATTGATACACATCAGTCAGAAGCTCAAGCCTGCTGTGGGTTTCCAATGTGTTAATCTCTGTGGGTACAGCTGGACAGACTGACCTTCAGCTATTGGAAATAGATGCAAGAATTAAGATAATAATAATCTACATCATGCAGCATACAGAAATCAACAGAAGATATTCTCACGGTTTCAAGTCCTGTAAGTCAGTCCCCTGTCAAAGCAGAGAGCAGAACCCAAACCCTGAGAAAGGAAGGCCCTTTAACGCGGAGAAACTGGATACAGCTCTGAAGAGGACCATGCTGGCCCAACAGATGCAAACTGGTGAAGTTCTAAATCACACCCAGATTACAGCAAGTCTCCTATAGCCTAACCTAAAGCTGTGCGGTAAGAGTCTACAATTTGAATACCAGTGGCAAAAATCTAGGACAGATCTACTGCTTTTCAGTTTAAAAAAAATCTCATCTTCAGAGCTATTTTACAATTTCCTATTGTGTAACTCCTCCTTCCCCTCCCTAAGCTGGTAAAAAAAAAACTTTGCCTAGCCTCACCTATTTCTTTGTCTTTGCACTAACAAGAAACCAGTTACACAGTGTAGAACTACCAGTGTCTGATTACTAAAACTACAAATGCTTGATTTAAATTATAAGGCCTAAACTATTTGTCCTAAGAAAACCTGTCTGTTAGCCAGTGCATGGAGTTTTACAGCAAAGTCACTGGCAGATCTCTTGAAAAAATACTGTGAAATCTTCCCAGCAGGCAAAGCACACACATCCATGAGTCCCATGCAATTATTACCAACATCCACATTCACAATTCAGGTTCCTCGAATTGCAGACTGAATGTACAGAAACTGCCAGCTCCACTGCCCCAACACTGAAGTGAAAGCAGCCAGAAGTTCTCAGCAGCTTTTGAACCCTTTAAATTAAGGAGAGCTCCTTCTGGCCTCACACTGCTTTTCTCTGCCACTTGGATGGCCGTCCAAGGAGTGGGTGTCTTGTTTGGCCAAACAGTAAAAGCAACCCAGTTCCTTTCCCCCCAAAAAGTGATAAAGTAGTAAAAGTGATAAAGTGATAGTGACAAAGTGAAAAAGTGATAAAGATGAGTAAGAAGTAACTGGATAAAACGAAAAGAACACCATCAGCTTTATGACCTTTCATTAGCCATTTGTACGACCTGTGTTCACTCAAAACATCTTCAGATCTGCAGAAACAATTCCTCACCCAAGAGACTCTTAAAGCAGGAGATCTACAAGACCACACAGGACTTAGTTCCTTATTTGCTGCATTGGTACCAAAAGGCATCCAAGGTACCTGAACCCTGTTCAGGCCCATTCCAAATTGTGTAACTCTCCCACAGCCATACTAGCAGGCAGACAGAGGTACCCCTGGAGGTCCAGGGAGGCTGGATGGAGGTGTAACAACTCTCTTCTGGGACTTAGAGGATCATGTCTTAGCACGTTATGAGATGCCAAGATGTATTTGTCCATTTACTGTCATGTTTAATCCATCCCTTCTCTTAATTTCTCCCTCCTTACCATTACCTTCCTGAAGTTGCCCTCCAGAACAGCATGAGTTCAGACCCTGGACAAGCAGCCATCTCATCACCAACGAGGTTTTCAGACCACAGCTTCACTCCAGGTGCTGGCAAGCTGCTTCTCATTGCTCCTGCATCTAATCATACCTTATTTTGGGTGGTATTTTCAAGTAAATGCTATTTGCTAATACTGCCAGGGTGTGCTGGTTGCCGTGCAGAATCAGGCCCTGAGCACACCACCACAACAGCAGCTGTAGGCAAGACTGACTCACAGTCACAGAAAATACAACCAGGAGAAACCTCAGAAGTTGGTCCCTACCCCAAGAGCCCCAAGGGAGAGTCAAGGTCAACAATAAAGCTGTCTTCTGGAGCATGGCAAGTACTGAACTACAGAACCAATACCCTAAAAGTCCTCTCAAACCTTTGGCAACTGGAAGGCCACATCTGTTTCCCCTCCCAAAGACTGATAGGACATCAGAACTTTTAAACCAAGCCTTAAGTGATGCCTCAAGATTAAGAGCTCACTGACATTAATACCAATGACAAGAATAAAGTTTGTTCAAGAAGATACCTATGCTTGACGGTATTTTTTTTAAGCTTCTATTTCCTGTGGCTTTGCTGCATGTGTATATATAGAAAGCAAGGGAAATTCCAAACAGCACACCACCGTACTCAGAACAGCGCTGCTCGGTCCAAAAAAGGGAAGTCTCAAATTCTTTTTCTACAAAATCAATGTGAATTCAAAGTATGCTGCAGTAATATTTCCTAGTACTGTGCTCCAGTAGGTACCAGCCTGCGGCTTTCAGCTAAAGATCTAAAGCTGCAGAAATGCCTGTGGGGTACTAGGTCAAAGCAGCAGAGCCCCAGCGATGCGGCACCAGGTTCAGCAGTGCTCATGGTCAAGGTGGGCTCCTGCCTTCTCACCTGATGCCTCAGCTCCTCGCTAGGTGCAGAGCCCAGCTGAGCCCACCCACTGAGGCTTTCTAGGCATGTCCTGCCTGGGGGGCAGAGCTCCAGCAGGGTCGGGAGAGCTCCCACAGCCAGCGGAGGTTTGAGGTTCCCAACAGCACCGCTGCTGTTCAGTGCAGTCCCCCCTTTTCTCTTTATGACATCCATTTTTTTCCTCCTCTTTTTGCACTTACAGGTGAGAAGCCACGGGTGCAAGAACCCTTCAAGACACGTGTTGGATGTCTTGTGTGGATAGAGGCTGATGTTTTCCCTCAGGAGGTTGTGGTGTTTCCATTGCACAAGCAGCTCCACTGTGGACAGCACTGGTCCTGAGGGTGGGTTATAAGAAAGCTCATTTCTAGAAGGTGCCAAAAAAAACAACAAACCACCGTTAGAAGCGTGTGCTTGGCTCACCCACACTTGTTCCCCAGGACAGCACCACTTCTGGAGAGCAGGCCACAGCAGCGAGCTGGACAGCTGCCTGCTCACGCCATCACCCACCCACCCGCTGTCACCCCAACACACCTCACCCAACGCCTTTCCACCCCCAGTTCTCAGTGAGTGGGAGGGAGGAAAGAGCTGTGGGACCCAGTTTTGGGGCACCGGCAGATCCTCCTCCGTCCCCTCCCTGTCCCCAGCACAACGCTCTCCCTCCCCTGTTTGCACTCACCCAAATCTCTTCGTTCAGTCTGTATCGATACAAAAAGCACCTCCCCTGCTCCATCGCCCTGCTAGGGACCTCCTGGGTCACACACACACACACACACACATCACAGGCAGCTTTCAGAGGCAGGACATGTTTTTAGGTGAGCCCAGGGTTTGCAGGACAGAGGACAGGGCACCAAGCTGTGCGTGGCTCCAGCTGTGCCCCCGCAGCTGCAGCTCGCAGCGTGCCAGCCACCTGCACCAGCCACCTGGTCCCCAGCCCGCAGGAGAACCACGATGCTCGTGAAGCGAGCCCCAGGAGCAGCCCCAGCACAGACCCCACTCACCCAAGCCCTCGCTTGGGCTTTTCCTGCCCAGGTGAGGCAGGACGCATGGCTCAGGGGCTCCATCCCTCTCAGAACATGCATGGAGCAGGGGAGAGGGGCTGGGATATCCATGGACCAAGGCGTCCCAGGTCATTGGAGGGGGGAAATGAGAAAAGGAAGGAGCTCAGCCAGCCACAGAGGAACCCCCCTCACTCCTGCCATCACTTACACAGCACCTGCTACACACACGCAGCAGGCACAACAAAGGACGTGCTCTCCACCTCTCCCTGTGTTCAGGGCAGGCTCACCTGGGCACGGCCCTGGGGAAGGTCTCCTTCTCAGGGACATTTCTCTGCTAGGAGGGCAGCAAACCTTGCCCTGGGAGGTCAACTCGTTCCTGTAGCTCAGGCTCAGCCAGGCGCCCACTGTGAATGCACGTGAGATGATTCTTTGGGTGAGGGACGTGTCCCCTGTCACACCTGTGACGAAGCAGAGACGTGCAGGCCGTCTGTCTGTCTGTCAGTGCCTCACTGCTGTGCTGTGCAGAGGAGGGGCAGCATCACAAACCCAAGTGTCTGCAGAGAACGTGCCTGCACCGAGCTCTACACGTCGTTACAGCTTGCATCTGTCAACTGCAGGAGGGAGAAGATATAAAGTCTATTTATTGCAACTGTAGAATTGAATAACGAGGCCCACAGTTATCTGTTCTAATGCTGGGAACTGCTCTTGGAGCAACAGCCCCCCAGTTACCAGCATTCCCTCGTTGGGGATGTTCTTGGCTGGGTGAGCACAGTGAGAGGGGAAGAGCTGCGAGCCACAGCACGCCGAGATCCCACAGAAGAGCAGCCTCCTGCAGAGCAACGCAACCCAGGGGAGGTGCTTGTGCTGAGACAAGAAGGGGTTTTGGTCCTCATCAGCAGGTGAATGATGCAAAAGCAGCTCTGCCTCCAAGCTTGTACCTTGTTTTCTTATAAAACAGAGCTCTGACAGCTCCCCCGTGACTCTTAAAGTAGTTTTAAAACCACACAGAGGTTCTTTTAATAGGACTGAGGAAGCCGAGTCCTCTTTCTCTTCTGAGCCGTCCACTTGACTGATTAGAGCCCACTTTTACCCTATTCCAGTCACACCCTAACACAAAAACAGTTCTCAGGGCAAGACCCAGTGCCCTGGACATCACCCACCCCACCAAAAGGGTTACCCAGACAGAGAGGTCAGCTCCGAAAGCACCCTCTGTTTGCCCTTTTGTACCTCTGTATCTAAGGGGTGGTCATCAAGAGGCACCTCAACCCCAAAGATACCAGCACCACTTTCCCCGGGGACACCCACAAGTTTTTACACCTCTTCAGTACCACTCTTTTGGCCCTAGGAGAAGGATTCCAAAACTGCTCCAGGTGGTGTGCTGGGACTGACAGGAGGCCTCTGACAGCCCCAAAAATCACACGCTGTGTGCAAACCAGAACTGATCCCCGCAGAGGGGAGGGCTCTGCGCAGCCACCCGCTGCCCACAGTGCCAGGGAGCAGAGCTGGACTGGGAAGGAGAAGATGAAGCTGGCCTGAAAGAGACACGAAGGCAAAGAGGTGGTGCTGAGACCAGCCAGAGGGACGAGAGCAGGGAGCTTTAAAGGCAGTTACTCAGTCATCTTTTTAGATGAATTGCTGCGGCGGAGCCGAGGAGCCAGCTCGAGGTGCAGGCAGGCTTTCCCCTCCCACACAAGATCCATCCTTTGATAACCAGATGTGGAATCCCCTAAACTCGCCGCACAGCGGCAGCTCCCAGGGAGGCACAGCGTGCAGTGGAAAAAATTGATGAGCACAGCCACCAGGCCGCCGTCACCCCGAGAAACGGGTGGCAGCGGGTTTGGTGAGCCCTGCTCAGGCTGTGCTGCACTGCACCTACACACCCACGGCGCTGCGTCCCCTCCTACAGAATGTCAAAGCCTCCAGCTCCTAAAATAGAGGCAAAAATAGTCCAGGGGACGTTTCACTGGTCTCGACTTTCTCTTAGAGCCAGGGTCTGTGCTCACCTTGCCCTCCACACTCTGTCTCCTGCCGGTGGCATCTCCTTTCTCAGGCACTTTTATCTCTGTGGTTTCCAGGTGACTCTCTCAGGGAAAGTTTACTGGAGCTCCATCCTTCCTGAAACGGCAGCAAAAGCCAGTAACCACTTCCTCTCTGCACAGCTAAGGAACTGCAAATGTGCAGTGTTGCAAAACAGTGTGAGGACACTCTCCCTTCTGCCCCTGCCATGCTCTTGCAGGCATTAATAATCAGTTGTTGCAAACGCGGTGCAGCAACAAGGTTGGGAAACAGTTAAGCAGAAAAAGCCACTCTCGCAGTTAGGAAAGCTAAAGGGCTGCTTTTCGTTCTTCCCTGCAGCCAGCTCGTGCCTTGGCACTGTCAGCAGCTGTAAAGAACCCAGTTCCTGCAGTCAAAATTCAGAGCTGGCCCCCTTTTAGAGCTTAACTGAATGCTTTCGAGTCAGTCCCTACAGCTGGCTTGCACTAAGAGTACTTGCAGGGATTTCTCTTTTGCTGCAATTGCAAAAACAAATCGTGAGAACAGATAACAGCATCTAATAGGGGTTTTCACAAAGCTGATGTCATGTTGCTTCCCTAACCAGAGGGGTACATAATGCCCCCAGCATCTAAAGGAAAGGACCCAATAAGGCAAGCAGCTGGCTTTGTGTACCTGGTGTGACCCCCTGCAGTCTTGGAGCTGTTTGCTTACAGGGCAGTGTTAGTGCTGTTGTAAGGCTGCATCCTAAGCAGCTGACGTTTGGTTGAAAAATCAAAATCCACCCTCCTCCTGTACTGTGCAGCGCTCAGCTCATGGAAAACAGATGGCGGTGACTCACGGGAGTGCCGAGCTTCGGGGCACTCTGCAAAACCCTGGGGCACCCTGCTGTTTTCACAGAGATGGTGCTAACACAAACCAGGAGAGGTTTGTGCAAAGTCTGCAGTTGCTCTGACGCAGTTTTGGTGAGACAATGCTGTGATTTCACATAGGAAGCCCTGGGCTAGGCACGCTAAAAGCTTGAGTTTCAGGCCATCTGTGTAGTACCTGCATATAATCACCATCCCTGGAAATCTTTAAAAGACGTTTAGATGTAGAGCTTAGGGATATGGTTTAGTGGGGACTGTTAGTGTTAGGTCAGAGGTTGGACTCGATGATCTTGAGGTCTCTTCCAACCTAGAAATTCTGTGCGTGTGATAGTCACAGGCTCCGGGCTCTGCTGTCCCTCTTCTTTCCCCCGTTTGAAAGGCAGCAATGATTTTCTTCCCCATGGCTGATACAGAACAAGCAGGCCAGCACAAACCTGTACCTACCCCACTGCTTATACTGCTGCAATTATTCCACTCCCCAATGCAATTCCTTATAAATCAAGGTGGGTGATTTACACAAGAGGCTTACAGCTGAGGCAGGTGACGAGCCCAGGTGTGAGCACTGCAGGCCCCTCGAGTTGGAAATCCAGGATCTCTTCGAAGCAAGTCACAGAAGCATCCACGGGTTCAGGAAATGTCAAACTGCATTTCTGTCTGGAGCATGGGATTTCCACTCCACCTCCTGGCAAGTGAGAGGTCAAATTACAAAAAAAGAGGGAAATATAAACACACCAAAAGGTTATAAAAGTTTACTTAAGAAGCCAAGACTGACCACAAAGCAAGGTTTTTCTTAAGATATTTTTTAAGGAAATAAACAGTATAATAGCTTTTGGGCATTCATTAAATAATAATGGAAAATTCTGTCGCATGAGAAAGGACTGATAGGAACTAAACTTTACAGAAAAGGACACGGGCAGGGAGCCAGCACCAAACGGAAACGCAGGAGCAAAGTTACTGGAACTTCTGGGGGAAGGCAGCAGGTCTAGGCACGAAGCGTTTTTCTAAAGCAAACTGATGACTGTCACACTCAATGGCAAGTTTGCAAAATCACCAAATAGTTGGGTGCGGGGGGGAGGAAGCTCTGGAGATCGGCTAAGCCCAACCATCACGGCAGAGCAGGGCCAGCCGTGGCAGGCAGGGTTTGACCAGCCCCATGGATTTTAGCATCTCTGAGGATGAAGGCTCCACGGCCTCTCTATGCAACCTGCTCCAGGGTTCAATCACTCTCAAAGCAGAGAAGTTTTCCTTATGGGATGTTGGAATTGTGCCCACTGACTCCTGTCCTGGCACTGGGCACTGCTGAGATGACTCTGGGTTCATCTTCACTGTCCCAAACCAGGTGTTGGTACACATGGGGAAGACTCACCCACGTTCTCCAGGCTGCACAGTCTCTCTCCCAGCTTTTCTCTCTCCATCTGCATGGCTCCTCCTTGGATTTGAGCTATTTGACAAAGGACAACCCTCCGCCCCAAAAAGAAGGCCAAAAAAGACCTCTTTCTCCCCTTCCTCTGAACAACCTGAGAGGGATTTTGCTTATTTAACTGCTTATTAACACTCACAGCATTCAAGATCTACAGATAAATAAATATCCTTTGGATATACAGAGGAGACCTCAAAACCCCCAGCTAAACCAGAAGTGACACAGTTCTCACAGGAATCGGTGTTAAATCAGAAAAATGGCTCCTTTGGCACGGGTTCCAGGACAAACACTACAAGTGTTTGTAAGAAACATGACACTGACCATTGCAGGGAAGGACGGTGATGAGGCAGGAAATAAATCCTTTTTTTTTTTTTTTTTTTTGACACCAAATTCCTCAATCCGAATGCACAGGCTTGTTTTGAAAACCCAGCCAACAGACTGGTTAGCAAGAGAACCTCAAAAGCCTCCGAGGTGCAAGGCAGGTACCTGTTTGATACCTAGGGCCCCCAAATCACAGCAAATTAAAACCCTGACAACACAATTCCACATATGAGGCCTTCTCCCTGTCCTCCCTGCATGTTTATCACTGCTGCCCTGGCCTTCCTGACTTCCCAGTCCACAGCTTCTGTATTTTTTGCAGCTTGTGAACGCCTTACGGTAAGGCCAGGGTACAGCAACTGTTTCCATTTGTTTAGGTCTGATCTCCTCACAGCTCAACGGGATGGTATTTCTAAAATCGCCCTCTTTGTAGCTGCTCTCCCCCTTCGTGAAGCCTATGAATCACCGCAGGTCATGTGCACACCAGTAGGCGATAACACAAAAATCCCTTACGCTTAATGTCAGCTTTTGTAGCATTCCCTCCGCTGTACAAAACACCCATGTCGAGTCCCTTGCTCACCAAGGTGAGGAAATAGGGGCACTGACTAAAACCAAGCAGTCAGTTTGGAAACTCACCACGTCTGTGAGCGTATCACAAATGCGACCCTGAGCCTCTGTGCTTTCCTAGGCCCCACGAAGGTAGCCCCGAGGTGTTGACCTTTGTCTGCTCAAGACCAGAACAAGACCAAACTCACCTCTGTTGATTTCTGAACAAGGATCTGAAGTGCCAATGCTTCAAGTGAAGTACTGAAGGGCATTGCTCACTCCGATGTTACTGAATTTCTCTCAGTCTGACAGATGTATATAATTACACTGACCTTCGTGGGTTCATTTGAATCTCATTTGGGTGAATACTGCATTTGGGACCCTGATATTAAACTGAAAGAGGAAGACAAAAGAAGGAGTTAAGCCCTGCTCAAGCAAAAAGCACTGACATCTGATGCAAGAAGGGCACAACCACTCTGCTCCTGCCTCCCTCACAAGCACCGGCTGTACCAGGGCACTTAACACAACAAACACCAGTGATAACAAAGGAGGGTGAACACAAATGGGGATTCTTTGGATGAATTGGATTTTTTTCCAAAGTGTTTGGGCTGACGCTGTTCATCACCAAGTAGGTATGAAAAGTTGGCTGAATTTCTTGAATTCCCAAACATTTTTGGCCTTGTTTGGGAAGTCGTGGAGAACAGATGAAACTTCAGGGACTCAGAAAGAACAAACATCCTGAAAACAGAAACAAAAAAAATCTAACTTTAATCCCCCTCACCTTCTAGGAAGGAACAAGCAGATGAATTGCAAATACCTACCTGACAGCAAGAAAGTGATTTATTCCTGACAAATCCACGCTGGCTACTACTCATGGTCAAACTGATAATTTCCTCCTTTTACAGGATAACAGCTCTTGAGAACGGGGAAAAAATAGTAGATAGCATGAGATAAGCTGAGAGTTTGAATAGCATTGTGACAAATTTTCCATAAGCCACCTATAAAAAAAATTATCTCAAGGGGTACAAAAATCAGTCCTGAAGAATGTATCAAATTAGGAGATTGAAAGATTGGTCCTGGGTTGAACATGCAGTTATTTCCATTTCCACTGATGGGGGATGGGACAGATGCATTAAATTCACATGCAGATCTCAAGGTAAAAGGAGATGCTGGCACATTGGTGAAAGAAATCAGAACAGCTTTGGCAAATTGGAGCACTGGTTTGTAAAACGCAGGCAGCTCAGCAAGGACAACTGCAAAGTTACGTAATTTCAGGGCTCCTGAATTGCACAAAGCCACGAAGAGGAATCACTAACAGGGCAATTCCTCCGAGCAGCTCGGAGGCTGGAATGAGTCACGGGCTGCTGCAACTGGAGCCAGGCACCAGAGAGCAAGGAACAAGCAGGGGCGCTGGCAGCTGGACACGAAGGAATCCCTCTGTGGTGCACAGCGTTTGAAAACTGTTGAGAAAAAGACAGCAAAAATGGACAAAAGACCATGGGAGTTTCTAGGAGATGATTAGAAACTATGACAATAGGTTAGAAGGCTAAGGGGAGCCAGGCTGTATCCCTGCAGAAGGCAAGGAAGCCTCCTTCCAGCCCAAATTCCGTTAGCTGCCCCAACTGGAAACCCCCTTGCAGCCTCCCCAGGACAAGTTCTCTCTTTTTCTGCCCTGTTGGGGCTTGTGCTGCGGATCTGTCCCTCCTTTGTGACGGCACTGCAGCCCCGTGCCAGCTGGCAGCCCTGCCTGGCTCTGCGGGAGCATCCCCAAGCCCTGAGCAGGCACTCCCTGAGATGGAGCAATGCCCTTCCCTGCCTCCCAGCACTTCGTTCGACCCCGCAGGCAGCAGCTGGGACAGCAGAACCGGCCGAGGCTCGCTGCCACCCCAGCCTTTCAGACTTCTGAAAGTTTTTCAGTGCTTTTTCAGTGCTTCTGCAACCAGCCACAGAGAAACCATGCCGTGCACCGCCTCCCAGCCCAGCTGCAGAGCATCACCCCCAAATCCATGCACACACATAGAAGGAACAGAGTGTGACTGCAGCATGGACACGTGTGTCTGCAGCTGGGGCACGAACCTCTCCTGCTGTAGGGCAGTGCTGCAGCCAGCAGGATGCTCAGGGATGGCTCTCGTTCAGCCCAGAGGAAGGACAGATTTTCCCCCAGCACATCATGGATGATGGGCACAGGAGGGCTGTGTGGAAGCAGACCTGAACCTGACTGCTCCCAGCCTTCAGACTCTTCACTTTTCTCCCAGCCTGCTCTTTCACAGGGGCTTTCTTCCTGTGTCTCCCCTGCAAGAGCCATCAGTTTAACAGGTTAATTTTGAATAACAGTTCTGGTTCCGCTAGGTCAGCTTTCTCCAAGACACAACGAGCTTTCCTGAAACCTCACAAGTATCTCCAGTTGGAAGTATTTTCAATCACTTCAAATACATAACCCTGTCTGAATTGATTCTTTCCATACTGCAATTTGGGAATGACTTGGTTCCACGTTCTGCAAAGCACCTGTCTGGGAGCTGCACCACTGACATGCTGCCTCCAACCTGCAAAATACAGAGGGGAACTTTGCATCACCATGGCATTAGTCAGGACCTCCAGCAAATTAACTTCCCCATTTGCCTGAAATTAATACAAGACAGGAGAGGCTGCTCTTCCAGCCTCCCCAAGCCTTCAGCTGTGCACACCTAAGACATTGCTATGACGCACAGTTTCAAGAAGCTGGATCCCCTTTTTCAGCTCTTCTGTTCCTCCTTGGGCCCAGCTCTCCCCTTTCTCCATCCTTCCAGGATGTGTTTCTGTGTTTCTTTGGGGGGATGGGTGCACAGACAGCTTTGTACACACAGGGTGAGATTCAGCCACTGCATCTTCCTATCATTTTACACCTTCCTTTTCCTTGACACATTGGTAGTAGTCACCTTAGTATCTCCAATCTGGGCTGGGCTTTAATCAGCACCGGTGACTAACACCAGACAATAGGATGGGCAAGAAGCACACTCCCTCTGCCACCTAGCCCTATCAGAAACCCCCCTGAACCCAGTGAACAACATTCCCAGCTTTGTAATGACTGGATCCAATTTCTCAGACTTGTCTTTCTAGATGGTGGCCCCGCAGCAGCAGGGCAGTGCTGCTATTGATAACCTGCAGTGATTAACGCGTCTGTAATTGCACTAAGAGACAGCTGAGGCTGCAGTGACCTAACCCTGAATGCCCCTGAACATTCAGGGGTTGGGGAATCTGAATGAAAGGCAGGGAAACAAAGGGGATGCTGTCTGGTGAGAGCAATGCCAGACAAAATCATCCAGGAAAAGAAGGAACAAAAGCAGGTGAAACAGAAGGAAAAGTGTATCTGCCTCAGCCCAAACAGGACAACTCCACAGACTGCCCGGAGCAGGGAAGGGGACAGACGAAATCCTTCAGAAATCAAAGACAAATGCTGCAGACAAAGGTCTGATGTCTTTATTTTGGATGTGCTGCTTCCTTTGAGACAGGGTTATGTAGAAATACAGTATCAGACCAACTAATGCTGTGAAAAAGAACAGCTAAGCCTGTCTCAAACTCTTCCACACAACAGAAAGAGCCTGTCCCATCTTCCTGGGACAGGCTGACCCCAGCAGTGTCCTTACCTGTGCTATGGCTGAATTACTCGTTACAATTTCTCCCCCACAGTTTTTCCAACAAAATAAAAAAGATGAATAGTTTCAGAATAAGACTTTTTTTTTTTTTTGTAGTTATTAAAATCCTTCAAAATCTCATGAAAAGCTTCAATTGGAGGCTCTGGGAGCTACTAGCACAAGGGAATTGCTGGTGCTTTCTGAACACCTGCATTTCTTAGCATACTCTTGGACCTTCAAGTACTCCTGCACATACACGAAGAAACCTCACACTTCAAGTTTTTGTAGGATCAAGGATAAACTCAGTTGTGTACGCTGATATAAGTCAGTTTATGCTTCTACTTTCCCTCAAAAATTAGAGCAGTGCAAGCCAGTGACAAAATTCCTGCTGCCAGTGACAAAAAGCTGCTGCAAATACCCAGGTACTTTGAGACCCTTAAGCTTATGTTTGGGAAGACTTTTGAAATCAAATTCCTCGCATGCAGCACGGATCAGACTGCCAGCACCAGCTTCCTGTTTTCTTCTAAGCTCCCCTTAAAATCAAAACTTTCTTTTTCCTAAAAAAAAGGATGTGATTTTTGTAATCAGGAGAATTATTGGAACTCTGAAGGATGACTCAAGTGTCCTCCTCTGGAATCAGAAGGGGAACCAAAACATTTTTAAGGAACGACTTCCTTTCCATTTCTTGGGAGTTGTATGGTGTGGGAAGGGAGGCAGGAAAAGGGGGAAAACAAGCATGGACCTGAGGGGACGACCTATACTACAGCTTGTAACAACGTAAAGCCATTTTCTCCCTCTCTAATAAGTCAGCTTTTAGAAAAAAAAATAAAAATCCATGTCCTAACTGATAGCTATTGGCACTTCCTTCCACTATAAGCCTGAACCCACAGAACAGTACCTGTCCTGAGTCAGGCAGGAAACGCCACATCCTTCACCATTTCGAGCTCTGAGTTCTGAGCTTCCCGAGCAGACAGAGGCAGGGACTGGGCACCACTGGGAAGGCAAAAAGAATTAGGAAAGGGTCAGACTCGGAAACCGAGGGCACTGGGCTGAGTTATAAATCCATTTCTCATCACTGAGTGAACAGCTTGGGTCACCTCCTGATAAAGGAGATCCAGACAGCACAAAAGCTACAGAAAGTGAACTAGATTTAAACAGATACAGAACACACGAAGCTTAACTTATCTCGACCCTTTTAGGTAGGAAGAGAGATGCCTGATGTCTGAGGGTTAAAAAAAATCATGAGTGAACAAGATGAACAGAAGATCAGCTGACACTGATGTTCATAAGGCAAAAATTTGATAGCCAGAGAAAAAAAATGACAAAAAAAATGACAAAAAAAAGTGACAAAAGGCATCATCAGGTTTGCTAACTTACTGCAGCAGGATGTTTTAGCTTTCAGAAGGATGAATGGTTTCAAAAATGGTTAGACCAACTGAAAGAATAAAGGTCTGCTTGCTTTTAAGCATAAGCCAGGGTGCATTGTTTGGCTCAGGAGTCCCTCCATCACTAGCTGATGAAAGCCAGCAGGGAATCCTCAAGAAACAGGGCAAACACAGTCCTCACCATGCTGTCCACTGCTGGCCTCTGTCAGAGGCTGACCCCCTTGGCTCTTCATCAAGGACACTCATTTCCACGTTCATTATGTCGGCACGGGAAGGAAGTAATGCTGTGTACATCGCTTTGTTTCGGGGAGATTCCTACAGCAAGTTCATCTGGTCTGGGGGGTTGTATAATTGATTTTAATCCCACTCATTCTAGCAAGACCTGAGTACCTGCAAAATTGACATATCAGAGCAGAAATCAGCAGATGAGCAGTGATGAAATTCATCTTGATGACTGTACGCCAGCAGGTCATTCACATGCAACACCTCTCCAGCATTATCTGCCTGAAGGACGTATTAAAACTGCAAAGTGTCTGACGTTACAGAATGTTCTTTGCATCCAGATATCTTCACTCAAATTTTCCCCCAAAATGCACCAAAAAAGGCCAATCTAGGTAGCAATCCAACTGACAGGATAGATATTCCTACGGTACAAAGCAAGCAAAAACAACTGGTTTCTGGCATTCATTTACACTGCCTTCTTCCCTTAAAACCCCTCCAAATATTCTACTCTTGATAGACAAAACATAAAACATCACCAACTAGGTTCTATTTATTTGCAGGCCACCTTCAGCTCGTCTGTTCAGGAGACAAAGGTGTTTTGCTCAGTGTTTGCCATACAGTAGAGCAGCCCCCTGTGTCATCACCACAAAGCTCCTAGTCCAAAACAGTTTTCTATTAATTCTTTTAACGTGCCTTACTCAAATAGGTCCCTTTTAATAGTCTTACTACACCTGCATCACGAGGCACAGCATTTGGTGAAGGTGCTTGGAAGAAATGCCCTCTGTATTCAAGTGAACCCATTATAACCCAAGTATACATCTTGATCTGGCTAACAAAAGGAGCTCTCAGACGTGTGGTGCCACACATCCTTCCCCACCCACCTGAGAAATCTCTTACAGCTTCTCTGAATGGAGCAGAGGAATCTCAAGTTGAATTTTTAGCATCTTCCCCACATCCTCCACCCCCAGGATTTCTTCTGAATGCCCACTGCATAGCCTGCAGGAAGGCGCACGTCTTGTGGTTTCCCATCTCCGCAGCAAAGTGAAATTCCCTCTGGTTAACCACCTGCCAGCACCAGAACATGGCATTTGCTTCGCTGCTAACCTTAACCAAAAGCCATGCGGACAGCACAGCTGCCTTAGGACTCAGCTCACAAAGCTCCACACTCTTGGAGATGTTCACTTTGGAAAAGGCAGTGACATGGCATCTCTGCTGGAACAAGAAGTTGCTTGCTGGAGTTAATTCAGCTTGTTTTACCCCCCCTGTTTTACCAGGGTAGTTTTGAACACGCTCGTGCAGGAGAACTGAACGTTCACTTCCTTCTCTGACTCGCTGAAATTCCCTGATTTCATCACCCACAGCCTGCTGCAGGGCTGCAGGGCTCTGCACAGGAAGCTCAGAAGAAAGCTTTTAATGAGAGCCAAAGGATAACAGCTACAACAGCACAACGTGTTTCACTTTAACTTATTCAAACCAATTCTGCAAGGAGCCATGAGCAGGGACAGGTGCACACATACGAACACAGCGATTTGTCACGAAACCTGGGCTGACAGATAGAAGTATTTACTGCAGCAGCGATGAAGTTTTCCTGGAACACCATGTTTTTAAGCTTGTCATGCCACAAAATTCGATGCAATAGTGAAATCTCAGTGTCCAGCTTAGCTTTTATTTGGCCAGAGGTTTGCAAACCATTCCAAGAATGATACAAAAGTGTTAGTCTCATTAGTCACTGTGAAACCATGTCTGTATATCACAGGGGGACACATTTCATGTACATAATAAATAGCCTAGAAGTCCTCCAAGAAGTTACAGTAAGAATGACCTCAGGTGACCCTGTGAAAATACCAACAACATCAGGAGCTAAAATCCTGAAATTATGGATGGGGAAACCTACTCCCCCCCACCCTCCTCTTTAGACACGTTCACCTCGTGCTTCAGAAGAGCAGGAGCGAGCCTTGAAATGCCCACCTCGAAAGCAGACACCCAGACACACAAAGCTCTGGCAGAAGGGTTTTGTGTTACTGCAGTGCTACCCACCAGCACAGGTCTGCTTGTCTCTGCTCAGAGAGCAACCAGAATCAACATCAGAGCAATGTAACTGAGAACTGCAAAAGCTGAGTTATTTACAGCTCCTCGTTCCTGTTAGATGAAATCCATCCCTGGATGTGCTCCAAAGAGCATCCAGAAAGGCACCAGACAGTGTAACATCCCTGGGCGGATTCATTCATTCTTTCTGAGAACTATCCAAGACCTCCTCTCTCCTCAGCCTCCTCTGACCGTACAGGAACAGGCGAGGATTTCTCTCATTTCCTGGACAGGAACGTGGAAACGTCACCAATTCACTCCCGAGACAGGAGCGCTGAGCTCCCAACCCAAATGCAGTGGCTGCGTGTTGAAGGCTGTTACAAAACCATCAGCGTTCAAGTCACCCTGCAGGGCTGGCGTCACCCCTGCATAACCAAGAGGGCTCACAAGCAGTGTGGAAATTCCATCCTTAAGTCATCGACTGCGACATCCTCTGGCAGTTTTCATCACTGCTACATCACGCCAAAAAAAAATCTTTGATCTCGCCGTGTGGCCTCTTCGGGCTCATTACTCGAACTGTTACGTGTGCAGTTTCTTCTACTGCACCGTGCAGAGAGCCAACCATTTCTTTTTTTGAGCAGATTTTCAAATTCTTCTGGGTTTTTCCCCCCGTCTGCCCATCCAGCTACTGCGGTCTGTACCTGCAGTCAGCGCTGCTGTGTGCCAGACGTTATTTCGCAGTCATGCGGCCAGGGCTCTGCCTTATCTCCTGGCCACGTGGGGCACAGCACCCATCCTGGACAGGTCCCTCGTGCTCCTCACCTCCCTGCCATCAAGCTGTGCCATGCCAGAGGCTTACAAACAATGACAGTTGTTTTTAGTTTGGTTATTTTTCTTGTAGGTAAGCCATGAAGCACAGCGAGGCTCCAGGTCTTGTTTCTGAGCCCCGCAGACAGATGTAGAAAGGAATATAAGGTATAAAGGTATGTAAGGTATAAAGGTATATAAGATATAAAGGTATATAAGGTATAAAGGCTTTGAAGATGTAGGGCAGGGATAAAGCAGTGCATGGACAAGAGAGAAATGACCACAGCTGCCACGTTCCCTACATCAAATCCCCCCTCTGCCATACAAATCTCATCTTTCTCCTGCTTCAGTCTGCTCCTAATACTTTTAAAAGTTTTCCCTTTTTACTTTGGCACAAGCCATCTGCCCACGACAGATGTACAAAGCAACAACCCTGCAAAAACTTGAGAGAAGGATGAGGAACAGAGAACAGGAATGGCAGCATTATCTCCTTACACACAACACCTCCCAGGCTTCTTCACCTTGTCATGGAAGCTGCAGAGTGTTAAATCCAAGTGGTTCTGGTCTTTTTCCTTGCCTGCAGGAAAGGGTTTGAGATTTCGGAGCCTATGCAAGAGGCCAAATAACACCTGTGGAGACCACAGGATGGGTATCACGCACAGGTGAGTTTCCACCTGCAGAACAGGTGTGGTGGCTGCAGGTGCTGTGTGTTGAGAGCAGCCACCTTCAGACCGACCCCATACCCCCAGCTTCGGGCAGATAGCAGCAGCTACGGCCTCCCAGAGCAGTGGGAACGGGGCTTCCCTGGCCTTCAGCTCTTGGCCTTCCCCCACGTCTTTCCAATCTCCTGTAACAATAGAAAAGTGGTGCTTTAAAGAATGGGTAAACACCAGAAAGACATGGAAAGAAAGGAAAAATCCTTCACACTAATAATTTATTCAAAATACTACAAAAATGTAGCACAGTGGTCAGGCCTAAGAAGATAAGAAACATTTTTCTTGTTATAAGAAATAAACACTAAATTAAAAAAAAGGTAGAGTATGTAATTAATTTTGTCAACCAATACCAGAAACAGAATTTGGCCTTTCACCAACCTATTACAAATCTTGAGAAAAAGCAGAAAGATGGAATTAATCCAGGGTTGGGAAAACTCAGATAAACCCGAGGAGTCTGAGCAGTCCAAAAGGAATTACACAGGAAGAGATTCTTCTAACAACAAGCTGCAGTGTCACGCAAACCCACGGCTTCTTATTTTCATCCACAAGGCTTTGTTGTCAAATCAGAATAAAAGTTATGTTATTGTCCTATGAAGATGTTTTAAATTCTGTGCAGATATACCTGGATATGAGACAAAAATTCAACAGTTTCAGATGCTCACTAACCTCTGGACAAGGCAGGATTTAGACTTTTCAACATAAATTCCAAGTTCCAATTCTGACTTCATCCTAACTTATTATGTTACCTCTATTACCTTCTGTTGAAACGATTCCTTGTACCACTACATGGAGCTAACAAAAGATTACCACCCTTAAAGATGGAATACAACTGGTTTATTTTCATGCTCACAGTATAGCTGACTGCCTAGTTAAAATGTAGAAATTTGTTTCTCCTGATCCCAGACAGTGACCAACTAACTGTGACAACTCCTGTCTTTGTGTGAAAAAGCAGTACTTAAAATTAGCAAGTTCAATCAAATACGAAACTCACTGACCACTACTGACATGGCTTTGTTAGTGATATTTTGTTTGTGCTCTGTATGTTGGTAACCAATATAACAGCATTATCTAAAAACAGAGATAACACATTGAAAGAATGACTAACAGACAGCGTTAACTTTTAGCAGAAAAAAATAAACCCAAGGCTTGCAGAGGACAATGACGAACAGAAGAAAAGGATCATGACAGGTGGGCAACAAGTGGCAACTTCACAAAGGTTCGTACTTGCTCTGAAGTTTAGTCCAACCTGGTGAAAACCCACCGTGACCTTGATGTGCAACCTCTGCAGCATGTGCACAGCCTGGAGGAGACCTCCTGCTAACTGTAGTTAACTGTGATGGAGGCAGATGTCATGCACCACACCCCCAGCAGAAGAAAAACCCTAAGGGGAATTGGTATGAGGCTGAGCCGAGGCTGGCCCTTTGAGGCAGAGGCAGTGGAACGTCTTGGGATTTCCTGCTCACTCTGTGCATTCCCACTGCAAAGGGTGAAATTCTTCAGGCTGTGAAACTGTGCCACCTATGTGATCTTTCAGAGTGTTTTGGGGAGGGGGATATGTGTGATACGTCTGTTGCTGTGGTTTGGTTGAAGATGGTTTCCTGTGAGACTGGGCCTTCAGCATATAAGTTTCACAAGAGAAAGAAAAAAAAAGTACTGACAAGCAAGCTAGACGCAAGCTTAGACTCTCCAGGAAACCACAAAATAACCTTTCTGAAGACTGCAAAATATGCTATTTCTACACCTCTATCGTCTTTTAAGGAGACAAGAGTGGCAGGGAAGGGCTAGAGAAGAGAGCTGAGCCCCAAGGCGAAGCTGAATGAAGGCGGGCAGGAAGGAACCAAGAGCTGGGGAATGCCAAACCCTACCGGAGTCAGCAGGAACTTCACCGGCAGCTTCATGGAGCTGGGGCTGCACCCGGAGCCAAAAGTCCTCCTAGACAGGAACAAAGACAGACGCCCACTGTCAGCATGGGATCATGGCACAGGAATGCCCCAATCTCGATGAGCAACCTACACATGAGCAGCGGGCTGGAATTACCAAGCTGGCCAGACCTCCTGCAAGATTAAGCCACCGCAACCAGACTGTGGTTGAGGTATGCTGATATTTTAAACAGGTCCTCTGCATAGTAGGGATGACAGCCGAGGTATGGAAATAGTTAGAATACTGTTTGAGCATCGCTAGCCTTCACCACAAGGATTTGAAAACCTCATGGTCAAGAGCAGAGGTTAGCCTCAACGCTGTCTGTGTTGATGGGCTCTATGCTCGTTCCAGCTCTGGAGCTGTAATTGAGAAACGCAGCCTGGGGCAGCATCGTGGCTGGATGCTCTGGCTGCTTCTTTTGGTTTTGACACTAAAAACTGGGCAGCATTTCAAGAAAGGAGATCAGCTAGGAAAGGGGAAAGCATTTGTATCAGATTAATGGCTCTCAAATGACTGCGAACTGATCTTACCCTCTCTCTGCCTTGCCTCACGGCATAAATTGATTTCCTTGCAGCGAGAAATCACAGAAAGCTGCAATTCATTAGGCTCAACTCCAGCTTCACATTACACACTTGCATTGCTGGAAACCACAGGCACCAAACAAGCTTCAAATTATGATTGCGCTGCTAAGAGCTTGAGCAGAATCAAATGCTAAAAATGAAGAACTACCAGCTGGTTGAAAGACCTTCATCTGACAAAGGCAAAACACCACTTTGCAGTAATTATGAAAGAAGGCTTTTCCCTTCGCTACCATTTTTCAAGATTAGGTGAAAAAAGCTCTGCAGTTTTCTGTAGCAGGTGACAATTTATCTTGTACGAAATGAAGTACAGAGCATTTTGTATCGAAATAAACACATTTCTTCGACATATTTTAAACCTCATAGTCTTTCAATCAAGTGACAGATCCTATGTGACTGCTGTTCCAAATATATTCATGTGATTTGAATGCAAAATGTGAAGTTTTTATAAACTTCTTTGCTCCAACTATGAAAACAGCAAGGAAAATTTCCTTTTTAAAAAATCTCTTGCTCCAAGTGGAACAGTGAAGCTATGGATGGGCAAGGAGGAAGAAGGAAAAGTCCCTTTTCTTCTCAAAACAGGAAAACCCTCAGGAATAGCAATTACTGCATATGCCCACAGAAGCTGCTAGCTTGATGTATTAGCGGCTTCACTTGCTACATTATTTTTTTTTTTAAGACCAAATTGAAACAGGTCTTGGGCTTAACCATGAAGAGGAGACAGTGAACAGGGCAGGGATGTGCCATGCTCTGACAGTGACTTACTGCATTGCTTTCAGCAAGTCACTTAACTTTGCAGTTTGCCTCCTGGTGATCTTACAAACATCAGCATGCCCTCAGCATGAACTGAGAATCACAGAATCATGACAAGTACAACAGAGGTGTCAAACAATGTTATTAGAGCACTTTCTTTTTTAAATACTTGTTCACAAGCACAAACGCTCATGGAAAGGTTATTAGGGCTGCAAGTACAAGCACACTCAGAATTAAGGAACTTCTCCAGCAAAGCATCAGTTCAGCTACTTCACGTACATGCTAGGGCTGCATATTTATGCCCTCACCAGGACACTTTGGCTTCACTCAAAGCATAGCATGGACTTAGCTGAGAGAAAAATTACCATGGGAAAAGAGACACCAGGCATTCTCTAACTGGAGTCGTGAGGTATGCTCCAGAGAAATGAGAAATCACAACAAAAATCCCTCATCCTTCACTGGTACTCCCTACCTTTGGTCCCTCTCCTCCTGCTGCCACTGGAAGAGCACAGCACTGACTTCTGAGGGCAAGATGAACCAAGGCTGAAGCTCAGGCATGTTGCACCTGCAGCAGAGAGGCTGTCTGGCTGCAGGCTGCTGCTTTATTCCTCCAGCCTCCCCCTCTGGCTCAGTCCCCCTTTCCATCACACAGAAATGCTCTCTGGCAGCCTTGTTTCTTCTTCCACTGCTCCCCACAGGTGAGGTCACAAGTCAGGATGAAGCAGCAAGGTGCTGGGATGCAAGGCTATCCCTCCCTGCTTCCCTGCACTGAGGGAGCAACAGGAACAGAGGTACACGTGGTAGACCAAGAGCTCAGTGAGTACTTGGCAGCTCAGGGTAAAGCTAGCTTGGCAGTGGAGGGAGTGAAAGCTCATCCTCAGTGTGTGTGGAAGGGTAAATGTGCAGCTGAGAGAATGAATGCAGCCAGAGGCTGCTTTGGCAGAGCTTGATATTTGAAGTTACTTTGAACCAAATACCCTGCTGCTGCAGTATAATCAATATTAACACAGTGACTCATTTGAGTATGTTTTAAGGAGCCTCTGGCAGGAAGAAGCCAGAGGTTTGATAAAGCAAATGAAAAAGGATTAATCAAAGGAGGAAATGATATTACCATCCTTTGCATACAAAGTCTCAGTGCCTGTACTGAACATGGGACAAGCAGACAAGAACAGAGTGGTCACCACGGAAGAGAAAGTAGAGATGACCAGAGTAGCTTTTGGGTAACTTCAACAGCAGAAACACGAAAAACACATTGTGATGATTTCATCAAGACACACCCTCAGATAAGTGGTAAGAAGTGGTAAGCTGGGAAAGCTACATTAAGCTATTTCTGTACTGTCGAAGCATGTGAAGAGGTGTACCCTTCACGAAGGTCATTCCACTGTTAGTGAGCTGTTTCCATCTTCACACCTGCCCAGTGATAAAGCTGCATGCAGCGGTATGACCCAGCAGAGCACTCCATCCCAGGGGTTTACAGCTGCCAGTGCTCTCAGGTCTATTTTATTGCATTTTTTGCCACAACTAAGCATTACTAGACATGTTCTCCTGGCTGCCTATAGGCATAGTAGAGGAGAAAATAAACCTGAGCCATTTGATCCCAGCAGCTGTGGAGCACAGGGAACACAGCACAGGTGTGACAAGGAGAAGTCCTGGGCTACAGAAGCACAGAAATCACAATACATTACCAAACATGGAGCCTCCTCTGGAGCTTTAAAGAACATATGTAAGAGAAATCCCACCTGCCAGTGGGAAGAAATGTTTTTTTCTTTGAGGGGGGTGGGCCACAAACCACAATGACTAGCTAGTTTCTCTTTTGAAAGATTCTCTCAGACTGTGCACAGCAGACCCCCCTCAAAGAGAAAGGACAAAGAGAAGTTACTGAGATAGTACAGCAGGCGAGTACACATGAACTTCCACAGCTATGGAGAAGTGCTGAGGGGAAGTGCATACTGACCTCCTAAGAATTGTTCTAGGATGGTTCCTCTTCAGATAGTTTGGGCACAACTTAGGAGCTATCACAGCCTTGGTGGAATTCACCTGAAGAACGCTGGACTTGAAAAAACCAGCTTGTTATAATCATCAATAGTTGCACACATCTGAGTAGAGATGAGGATGTGGGAGCAGGGAACTGCAGTCTTCCAGCTTCTGAGAAGAGGAGGAGGAAGTGTCAGGACAGACGCCCGCTGATTCTGCTCCTTTACAATGGAGAGAGGAAGAAAAAAATTTCTTCTGCTCTTCCTCATTGGGGACTAATTCTCAAGTCCACTGCATGACAGTCAGAATCCATCACAGAAAAACACTGAAAATGAGCAAAACCTGCTGGAAGGTGTCTGACCATAAGTTATTACAGAACACATTTGTGCAAGTATGATAAATAAGCGGAAGTGTTTCACCTGGGATTCAGCAGATCTGCAGACTGTCTTAAACAGTGACCAGATCATTAGAAGTAGCCCAGCATCATTCTGAAGATGCACAAATCCAACCCCAGACCATAAAAGCTGCATATGCAGGAGCCAGTTCAAAGTGCCTACATATCCTCGTGTGCTCACTCACTTGGTCCTAGAAAGGGCTTACGAAAGGTTCTTTTCCCTGGATAGAGCAATACCTGGAAACAACGGCATTCTGAAATCTCCTAAACCCATCGAAGAGCTCAGTTCCTTCATGAGGTTTATGAAAACACTGACACCAGGACCAGGTTTACAGAAAGGAAAGTTCAGGGGCAAGCAGTAGGCAGTGTAATCCTTTCCCAAGACCTTCTCGCTCTCAAGATGCACGACAGGACCTCTCTCAAGGCTCTGTCTGTACACAAATAAGTACAGCAAAACAGAAGAAATCACAAGTCCAGTTGCAGACACAAAGCACCTACGCAGAGCTAGGATCTGTAGGAACAGAGATGCAGTGGGAATAGCTTACATTCCTGCAGTGCTATTACGGATGGATGTCTCTTCAGGTATGAAGAAAAGAAAAAGGTCAAGAGCTTACGGGTCAGAATGAGATGGGAGGCCAACAGTCAGAGGAATGTCATGGGTGTCTGCTACAAACCACCAAAATGGAGAGAAAGCAGATGAAATCAGACAGTCAGCTGATAAAACTTTTTGACTGCCAGACCTGCTTCTCCCTGGGGATTTTCACAACCCCAGTATCTGCTGGAAGGGTAACAAGGAAGGGTTGAAAGCAATGAACCAAGAGGGCATTGAGGACAACTTTTTGAGAAGTGTGATAGGTCAGGAGGGGTACTCTGCTCATTCTGCTACTCGTGGACCAAAGTGAAATACACACGCAAAGGTTGATCAGTGCTGGCTGCAATCGTAAGACAGTGATAAAGATCCTGAAAGTAGGCAGGTAGAGATCTTGACCTTCCAAAGGGCAACTCTGGGCTTGTTTGGGAAGGCAAGATCCCATCAGAGGCTGAGGCAAAAGGGCCCAGGAGAGCTGGTTGATCTGGAACCACCACTGAGAGCAGAAGAAAGATCTGTTCTGAAAGGCAGGACATCAAGCAAACAAGGGGCCAGAGTGTGTGTGTGTGGGGGGGATCTCCTGACTGAGCTCAGGCACTAAAAGGAAGTATACGGAAGGTAAAAGTGGGGAGAGGCTGTTTGGGAGGAATATGGTGACAGAGCCTGAGCACACAGGGGAACAGAAAAGCAAAAGCATGTTTGGGTTTGAAATATGGAAGGGATACAGAAGGTATCAACAGATACCTCATCAGCAAAGAAAATCCAATCCCAAGAAAGTCCAATCACAAGGGCACAAAAAAGGCCAAGGTGTAAGTTACCTACTTCACTCTCAGACCTTGCCAAAAGTTGTGGCAGAGTCTGTGCAAATAAAGCATAACCCAGAGTCAAGAAAGAGTGGATTAGGGACTACTTTGGCAAACTAGGTATTGTAAAAGACAGCAGGAGGCTACAGTAGGTGACCTGCAATGGTCCCTCCCAACCTGAATTCTTCTGGTTATAAATTCCTCAGGGATCACCATAAAATCTTTGGCTATGCAAAGGAAAATCAAGATAGAAATGTCATCTCAGTCTATCATCTTAGCCACAGATGTAACAAAACCGAAATATGTAATGGACAGAAGCCCTGGTACAGCAATGCATACAAGAAATGGGCATTTTAAGTTCACTAACAGGTCTTGCCTGTACACATTACACTGCCAGATGCTACAATTACTAGAATTATGTTTTTCAACACCAGCATCTCAGGTGAGAGAATGATGGGCCAAGCATTGTGCTGCCCTCTAAAACATATCAGAAAAGCTGTTAACTTCACTGCTTCACCCCAGCATCAAGGGACTGACATCAGATTTGGTGGCTGACTTGTAATTCCATAATACTCCCAGTTGGAAAAGCTCTCAAGCCTGTAGAGCAAGCAAGTCCGGTACTTAAACAACACAGTAAGGTAAGAAGTTAATTCATTTAGGACTGAAAAGGGAGTAACAGCTTCCTTGTGGAAGACACCTTACCCTGCTGTTTGTGTTTGCTAGTTTTTCCAATAATATTTGAGCTCCCTTTAAGTCTAGGATGGAATTGCTAATCTAAGAAAACTTGTCCACAGTTCATCAGTATCCTGCTGCTACATCCAAATTTTGCTGTTCTGATGCAATGCCAAAGCAACTATCAGAGCAAATGGGAAAAAAAAAACACAAGACCACCTCCCAGAACTACTTACATGACAGTAAAAACCAGTTTGAAGGAGACAGCCTACAAATACAGACAGGAAAATCAGCTCTGTGAAGAGAAAACAAAAATTAGGAAGATGAATGCAAATCTAATGAGGATATTATGAGTTCTCAAGCCCGTTCAATTGAACCACTGGCCAGATAACTCCTTTTTATACATTTCAAATTCATCATACTATAGCAAGCAACTTCCTTTTTTTTTTTTTTTTTTTTAACATTTCAAATAAAGCAAGGTCAAGCAATAAATCAAGGGTGCTGCAACAACCAAAGAGCAACTACACACTTCGTCCCTGTGCTACAACAGCAGGAAGGAGCTGAGCTGGAACACCGTGTGCCTTCAGACAATGGAAGCACTTAAAGCTTAGTTTTTTTTTTCAGGCCCTTCTTATACATTGAAGTATTCTCAGCTGAGAACATCCACACAGATGCTTGCTTTAATGAACTGAAAGCACCGACTTCCCATTGGTGCGTCAGATGGACTTTTTCCTTAAGCAGTGGAAACAATCGTCTAGGCAGCGCTTGCGTGGGGCAGCAGACACCGCTGAGCTGTTAAAGTACCTTTTATAATAAAAATGAAACTATGAGGAGAGCCCATTCATTCTTTACCTCTGAATCAGGAAGTCCACTCATTCAAGCAACCATCACAGCCCGCGTAGAAAGCACAACATTCACACCATCCCTTCCACTCCTCCTCCAAGCATGAACTCACAAAAAGCTGCTCAGAGGCTTCCTCAAGCCCACCAGGAAAATCAGCGGGGGCTTTCTGTAAACGTTGCTTATGGCAGCCTAAGGTCAACAACTAATTTCAGCCAGGGAAAACCCAATGCCATTTATTTAGTATTTCCTTAGTGTAACACACAGATTGTGTAGGTTCAAAAAAGGGAAAGGCCTGAGAGAACCATGATGTAGCCAGCGTGTAACACCGCTCCGTGTCAACAAGAGCAGCCCACAACAATACTAACAAGCAGATCACCCTGCATGCCAGTTGCTACATCACTCTGGCATGAATTAACGCTATCAGCGCAATGCTTACGACACTGTATTTTCATTGTGGAACAACCATCTTTCACAAGAACCATCTTTACCTCAAGGTGGAGATAAAGTAGGCACGTAACCATCTGATGTTCATGATTAGAACTGAATTACTTGAATGCAAGGCGTCACAAAGTTGCTGATGTAGAAACAGGAGATCTAGATGCTGTTCTCATCTAATTGTCCTGTCCTTCAGTTGCTCAGGAATTGAGGTAATACCTAGCTCACCTAAAAAGGAGCATCAAGTGGTTTGAGATACTTACAGGAAAGGTGCTAAAATAGCCTCAGAAGCAGCCCAGGACATACTGAAAACAGAATCCTTCCTCTACCACTGCTATAGAGGTGTGTTGGGTACTGTGGAAGAAAAAATAAGCAACAAAAGACTGTAGATTATAAACAGAGGGAAGCAAAATAATGTGAAGAATATTGCTTCACCTGCAAATTCTTGAAATGCATGCATTAACCCCTACTCTTTTCCTAGAACTTGCTTAGAATCCATGACATGGATTTTTTTAAACGCATACAGAAAGCTTAGAGACATGAAAATGTGAACTAAAAGCTATAAAATGAACAATAACCAAGTGTCAGTTTATTTTAACTAACAAACCCATAAACAGACTGCCCAGAGGTTGCGGTCTCCATCCTTGAAGGCTTTTATGGTCAAACTGGCTCAACACCTAGGTAATCTGATCTGATCTCAAAGCTAACCCTGCCCTGAGCAGGAGCTGCACTAGAGACTTGCACAAATCCCTCCTGACCTGGATTATCCTAACCTGTGCTCCTCCTCTGCGGTTCTCTCCTCTGAGGTTCTTTGGCAGGTTCTTCTGGTTTCTGGCTCTGACTGGAGAGACCAAGTGTTTCAAGCCTTGCAATACAGACATGAGCACGTGCAGCCTTCAGAACTAAAACTCCCCTTGCAGTATTAAAGTCAGCCTTCCTCCCCAATAAGATGGAAACAGCTACATGATCACCTGTTGCCAGGTAATGCAGCAGCTCTGAGTGCACCAGAATGGCCCAGTCTGCATGGGGAGGGTGCTCGAGATCACTTGCAAGGAGCACCCAGGCTGTAACGTGCTTCACTTCACTGTCCTGCCAGGTTTTAGGGCTCACCAGAAACTACCTTCGCTGTGAATACGGCAGCCCACGCCTCCCGCGTACAAGCATGGCGGGCAGGGCCGCGGGTCCTTGGCATCCCGCAGCGGGCACGGCCTGAGCCCGTCTCTTGGAAGCGTCAAACTAGCCTGAGTCATACAGAATTGAGTCAAGTTCAAAATTTGAAAGGGAAGCCAAAACCTCTGCAAAATGCCCACTTCCTGATTAGCAGCAGCCAGCCCTCTGCTGGCTGCAGGCTCGCCCCGACCGCCACCTCATGTCGCCAGCAGCACTGGGTGCCCAGCTCAGCCTCTCCCCCCACCCCAAATCCCTTTGGCTAATGCTCCTCAGGGCACGCTGCTACCAGTCTCCACTGATCTGTGCTAATCATTCGTTTTCTTAATTAGCACGGGGAGAAGTACAATCGGAACTGCAGCCAAACCCATAAAACCACTCTCTGCTGCTCTCAGCTGTTCTTTCATCTCCTCCTGGCTGGCAGCACTGCTGACGAGAGGCCTGGGGGAGCCAGGTAGAATTTATAGTGCTGTTATCCAAGCCCAGTTGGTTGTCCCATATACTTTCACCGAAATAGCATCAAACTGCACTGGCAGTTTTATTGTTGCCTGAAAATTCAGTTTTTGTTCCCTCCTGGGGCACAGCTGCTAAGTGCTGTCCTCTGAGATACGTTCAAGGAAACACCACGCATGGGGTAACAGGGAGGAAGAACTGGAACTAAATTAAAATTTGGATAAAGGGAAAAATACTCCCGACGTTGATCCTTAAACATGAATAGGAATCGACTGCTGGCAGTAGAAAGCCGCAGGGGAAGAGGAGTGGACATAAAAAGGAAGCTCACTTGGCCACGGAGCACATCAGCTTCTATGCCAGCCACACCACTCTCACTAGGGGTAGAGCATTTCCTCTCCAGGGCAGCTTTTACAACAAGGGACTGCCACAATGCCACGACAAAGGGAGCAGAAGCATTTCAGCAACACATCATCCTAGGGGGAAGAACAGCACATATCCTCCAGACTCCAGAAGGTTGGGATCTGCAGAAATTATTTTGGTGTTTCTAACAGCTGATATTCAGCCCTACTGTGTTTTGAAGCCTGGGCTTCCAAAGTAACCAAACTTCCTTAGTTACACAGACAAAAGGCAAACCAAAGAATACCCAAGAGTACCCAGGATTACCCACTTCACAAAGGCACTTGAATATTTCAGGTTACCCCTTGGGTCCCATCACCACTGAAAAAGTTGCAGCTGTTGCAACCCTGGCAACTCCACTGAGGTTGAAGCACGACAACTGGCACGTTTGCATCGTCTGCTCAGATTATGGCAACTCTCGTATTACCTAAAAGCATCACACATGCCTTACAGAAATCTAGCATCCACTACCTTGTACAGCTGGATAAAAGGAAGATTATTTTCTCAGCTAAATACCCAAGACCATGTAATTTTCTTTATTGTGTGTGTTGTTTTTTTTTGTTTGCTTATTTTTAGTTTTAAATAAAGTGTCAATTTTCATACTGAATTCTCAATAAAAAGCTTTAAGGAAAAACTTTTCATTTTATTGGAATACAGTTATCTCACCAGACCAAGAGGCCTAACTAAACCTGCCAAAATCTCTGCGTATTCCTCATCTCCTTCCCCTGTCTGCACAGGGACAGATGACTTTAATTCTCTCTGCACTTCTCAGAGGGAAACGGCAGATTTAGCTGCTGAATTAGATGAACCCATTCTGAGCTGATCATCTGAAATTAGCTCACTCCATGCAAATGAGTACATCTGCTATGAGACAAGGCTCCTCACTCAATGCAAAACTTGCTGCTTCTGATGAATGCTCTTAGTTTCTCTCTATTAGCGAAAGTAAGGTGAACAACGTAAGTCACATGCTTTCCTGGAAATTCACTTCTAGTGGGTAGATATTGTCACTGTACACAGGAGAACAAGCACTTCTGAAGACCACATTTACACCATAGCCAAACTGCTTCTTAAGCACTGAAGATGTAAGCCAGCTGATTCACTTCTTCATACATCGGGTGGTGAGACTGTACCAGGTAGCCAGTTCAGGCAGGACTGATGTCAGAATCTAACCCACACCATTCCGTAGCATCTAATGTTCCAAACACCTCACTTCATAGCTGCTGCTAAAGGTTTGCACAACGCCCTTCAGATGAAAATTTCCCCCAAAACTCTGTTCTGTGCTCTGGAGAGTAAGCATCATTCAGAGGTACAGAGGGGGCATTTAATGAGTAAGCCATCTTTCAAAAGCAGAGAAGTGATATATAGTTTTAGGATTATTTCACAGTTCCCACTCACAAGGAAATGTGGTCGCATATGATGGAAAACAGCAATCGGATTAACCTGATCCCCTGGTGTGCTAAGCCAAAAGACAAATTACTAAAACCAGGAGCAAGAGGTTGAACGAATCCATAGAAAAACTGAGTACTGTGGGTTTGGAATGCAATCTGGCCACGGGTGTGAGGGACGTGCTTCCCCCTGCATGAAAATCTACCAAGAGAGATTACAACAGAGCAAGAAATCAAGAGTTCCTATGCAAGAGTTCCTATGCATCCCAGTGACCACGTCCTCCAGCACTGGACATCCCGTTACTATGCTAGGAATGAATGAGCTAAAGAAACAAGAACCTCCTCTTTCTCTCATCCAACACTGTGTGGAGAACAACTAGGAGTTTTACTTCATTTTGACCCTACCAAGCTTACTCACAACATGGTCTGTCCTACAGCAAAGGGTGTTTCATCTGGTTTTAGCCAAGCAGCTGTCCACACATGATAAAAAAAGCACTACGGTGTGATGGCAGCCTTCCAGGCACATGTGAGATAAGAGCTTAATTGAACAAACTAGAGGTCGAGGTCCTAGTCCATGAAGTTGTACTGGCACAAAGCCTCAGGAGCACATTACCACTTACGCAAACCAATTGCTTCATAAGCATTTTCAGGGAACTTCAGCCACAAGGTCTGTAAAGGCAAGACTGGGGTGCTGTGGTCTAAGTGACACAAGGTAAAGAACATTCAGTACAAAGAACACCATGAAATAAGAAACTAGCAAAAAACTACAATGCTTTACTCTATCAGCTCACTGTATCAGCCACAGACTCAGGTCTCTGGAGAGCTGGGTTTGGTGTCCAAGTCTGTTTTGGGCTTCCACAACAATTTGGGTAAAGCCATTTCACCTTTGCACCCCTGCTTCTTCTATAAAAAGGAATAAATATCTCATCTCTCTGCTGCCTCACTATACCAGCTACACACTGGTTTGGGAAACTAACATTGGTTTGGAGGCATCTTTAATACCCTTCAGATATTCATAATCATAAGGAGAGATCAATTCTCATCTTGGTGATTAGTTACTGAATTGCATGGATAACAGTAAAAGAGAAATGCTGTCTGTAGGCTGAAAAAAAAGCTATTTAAGAAAGTAAGAGAATAAAATGAGAGTCCTTTAGCAGAAGAAAGCAAGGCATTTCTGAAAAGCTGTAGGCTACAGGAGCTTGCACTCAAAGTTTAGAACTTCTTACACTCTTTACAAATTAAGCTACAATGCAAAAAGGAAATGCTAAAGACTTTATGATGAAGAAAAAACACTTCATATGTTTTAAAAAGTCTTTTAAAGATAAGTCTGCGGATAACACCTATTTTTCCCCTTCTTCATTCAGCCACAGCTACCTAGTTTTGGTTCTCATACAAGAAGCAATGAAGCTGGGCAGTGCACAACATTTGCTGACCATGGCCACAAAATCATACATTTTATAAAGTTTAAGCCTACAAAAAAATGTTACCACAAGCAGAAAAACAAAGAGGAAGTAGGATTTTAAGTCAACGTCTCCGTGCAATGTTTAAACCCAGCATATTTCCAACATCTTTAGGACATTACCATTTTAGACCATTTAATTACACCTTAAAACATCTAATTTTACAAACATAACTGAAATTGGTAGCATGCTTGTTTTCCTCACTTATGTTGCTTTATCTCCTGCAATTCTAACACACAGAAGACATTCCAAACTATACCCAAAAAGTGTTAGTTTTTGTTTTTTTCCTCCCCAGTCATTTCAAAACACTATCACTTCCACAATTTCTCAACCAGCTGCACCGTTTCCTCATCGGGGTACTTTTGTTTGGGTGACTCTGTATTATAACAATGTTCAAGGTTGCCAAGAGCTAAACATGATAATGAGTGTCAACTGCTATCAGAAACAAATCTAGCTCATAGATGATAATCTCCCAGTTTAAATACATAAAGTTTTTTTTTTGTTTGTTTAAACAGAAAACTGAGCAATAAGCTGTCACCCAGCCAGTCCAGAGATCACCTAAAACTGTAATTGGGCTCTAGCTCTTTCAAGACTACTTACCCCAGAATTTCCTACCTTTTCATGCTCACCTATTGCTTGTATGAGAAAAGAAATAGCAACAGGTCTTGTCAGACCTCATCTGTCCCTGCACCACATCATTTAGAGGATTGCAACTCAAGGACAAACATACCTTTTGTAAGGGTAATGGCTTTAAGATTTCTCTCCTCTGTTTAGTCTACTTGCATGCATCACCACATTCTGGTTCAAGACATTGCCAAGGCCTAATCCACGCAACCCCCCAAGCTCCTACGCCTAAGATGATCCAAAGCACGCACAGATGACATTCCTATTGCACAAGTGTAGATTAATGGCCAAAAAAGGCATCTGCATGGAGAAAGAGGAAAAAACAATCAGGCTATACCGGCTAAAGCAAGACTGCAAGCCCAGCCCACACAGGAACATGACAGCTCTCTGGCAACTCAGCTGTGGCCAGTTTTGATTGCCAGTTAAGAAGGGTTAAAAATGGATTTCAGAAGAACCATTACCATAATGATCACAACTGGGGGTCTTCAAATAAACTAAAAATAGTATTTTGGAAGAGAATAACCTTTCTCATGGGGCAAGAGGATTGTTTCTCATACCATGCTATCAGTACACCAACCTGCTTAATTCTCTTTTCCACTCCTTCTTCTCACTAACATCTCCAGCTATAGCTCAGCTGAAAACTTCAGAAACATCTGAAACCTCTTATAACTTTACATGTGCATTTACATACCTCTTTCACCAGTGCTCAACTACCAACTGTGCCTTTGCACCAGAACAGTAAAACAGTGCACTTAGTCCTGAGCAGCTGAGTGACGTATTTGAAGCTATCAAACAAGCTGCCAGCAGAAAACTGCTATGCTAAGTGTTAAACAAAACCCTTTGCAGCATCAATAAGGAGACACACGTTACATAATTTTACGGCTTTTGCCTTACAATGCTGTTCTCATCCCCTCCATGCATCTTCGCAAGCACGATGCCATCTTCTCCCAGGATTATGAAGAATACTATAGGCTTTTTTTTCTTTTTTTTTTTAATAATAAAAAAGTTAACACACCATTCTATGCAGTGAAGATGTCTGACTCAAAGAATGTAACTCATGACACAGGAAGGATAGGGTTTTCTACAAAACAGCATTCAGAGTTTTTCCCCATCCGGTGAAATACATAAAATATGATCAATGTAAATGACAGACTCAGAAGCAGCTGGGCAGAATGAATGACAGAATTTCACTGCAGACCACAAAATGGCTTGAGCAACCGACACGCAACAGTTACATTACTGAAAAGGTTCACTGATTCTTTAAATGGACTTCTCAGACATGCACTCAGTCTCAGAAGGGAAGGCTACCCTTTAAAGCTTATTTCTTTCTTTGTCATCAATGCAAGTAGAAGTCCCAACTAAGATGAATGGTAGCAATCTATTTCCATTGCTCTTTTCAAGTGAAAAAGTCCATTTACTTGCTAACTAGAAGGCAAAGACTCCTACTTCCTATAACTGTCTGCAAATAAGAGCATGCTCAATTAAGAAATGTAAGAGATGGTCTTGCATAAAAGTGCAGAGGAAGACAACAGTACTACTACTACATAGGATGCTAGTGTACCAGTACAATTTCTCCTTCCCTCCTACTTTCAAGAAGCAGTTCAAGCAATCACCTCTTTCACAGTCAGCAAGACTGCAGAACTGTGGTCTCACTTCCAGACAATGAGAATTTACTCACTAGAACAAAGAACTACACCCTGATATAACCAACACATGTAAGTGAAGAGACTCATATAATGCTTTGTACAACTGAGTCTTTCCCCATTCGCCTTTCCCCATTAAGATTGTTCCAAGTGGATTTCTCTTACAGACTGGTTATTTCTGATTTGCCCACAGCTTAACAGAAAACTTACCAGTGTCCATAAATACCTGAAGGGAGGGTGCAAAGAAGATGGAACCAGGCTCTTCACAGTGATGAGCAGTACCAGGACAAGAGGCAGTGGGCACAAACTGGAACACGGGAGGTTTCCTCTGAACATCAGGAAGCACTTCACTACTGTGTGGGTGACCAAGCACTGGTACACACTGCCCAGAGAGGTTTGGGGATCTCCTCCTTGGAGATCTTCAAAATCCACCTGGATGTGGTGCTGGGCACCCTGCTCTGGGAGGCCCTCCTGGAGCAGGGGGGTTGGACCAGATGGCCTCCAGAAGTCCCTTCTAGCCTCAGCTGTTCTGTGGCTCCAATTCTGTGAAAACAAAATACAAAGCTTCTAAAAAATGTCATCTTAATTGTTCTTCACAATAGTATAGAAACCAGTTAGTGGTCAAGCAACAAACTGATAAAAAACGGTAGAAGGTCTTGAACACAAAGTGCATGAAACAGGGTATATGTACCCAAAGAAATGACTAAGATGCTTCATTCCCCCCATCTTTTGGAAAGAGAGGGCTTCACTGACAATGTATTTACAGTTAACATAGAACCACTCTCCAATATTTGATGCAGATGAGGGGTTTGCAACACAAAACCTGAGGCAACAACAGGCAGCAAGATGCTTATCTGGTCTGAGGAGTTCAACATCCCAGCTTTCCACTCCAGAGCTCTGGTTTTAAATTCTGTATTTTGGTCACTAGTGACAACAACCTTTGACAACATGCTACTTGCTTGTAAAAAAACAACAAAAACCACTAGCCCAACCCATCGTGCTAACTTGATTTGAGTCAATGGCCTGTTGAAAGGAAACCAGAATGGGAAAGCAAGTCTAGACATCTTTCTCTCAGAAAAAAGTCAGACTTGTATAAGCTGGTTCTGTGACATACTTGGTGTGGAATGCTAGTTAATACAATATAAGTTGCAGATAATCAGTTACACATACATCACTAAAGTTTATTTATTATTCCATGTAACACTATGTACCTTTTTCCTTTTCTCCATGGATACTACGTCTGCCTACTGCCTCCTTTTATCATAGATGACAAGCTGGATATAAGGATTTTACACCAAAAATGTTAACTTCTCACGTGTTCTTTCACAGTTAACATACTTGAAATTGTCATTTCATGGGTATTAGGGCCCTGCCAAAGATGTTGGCTTTTCTGTTCAGCTTCCAGGAAAACAGATGAAGAAAATTGAATTAAATGTTGACACGAGATTCCCAAATGCTTGTCGTTGGCTGAAGTTAATCTTTTGGAGATTTCTAAAAAGAACTGTCCAGAAGCTTTCTTGCCACATTGCATCTATGCAGATATGTGGATTGCTTTACTTCTGCTACACAGATGTACTGGAATGAAAACTTAGGTTGCACATCCAGACTACATACTGTCTCCTCTCCTGGTGACTCTGCAATGGATAGCTAATGAAATAGTAAGACAAGATATTTCTGATCAAAGAATATCTGGTGAAACAGACAACATTAAAAGCTATAGACCTGCAATTTAAATGTGAAAACATGTTTCAAGGCATTCTAAAAACAAAACATTCAGACTGGTAAAATGTTTACAAGAACATCTTTGAGAAAAAACAACTATCAGTATATACATACCTCATATCAATTTGCTTTATGTGTTTTATAAACCACAGGGACACGAATTGGACACCATCCACTTTAAAATCCAATTTGTATCCGTCTCGTTTGTAAGCAAAGCACTACATTTTCCCCTGGAGAATACAGTTACAGAAAACCAAAGCTTTACCTGGCACATTTGTCAACAGTTTTAGATTCACTGTGCACCAACAGGCAGATTCTTCTGTATCTCAGCACTGAGCTGAAGGAGGCCCAACTCTATAGCTGATAGCAGCAACAAAGCTGAAACGGAACGCACAGATTGAAGAAACACCCAAAGGTTATGGGGCATTATTTCTTCGTTTTGTGGAGAAAACAGAAGACAAGAAAAATGGAAAACATCCTCCTCACAACCACAGTTACCTCAGAAGGCAGCAACAGTGAATACAAAGCGCAGATTCCGCATCCCTGTTTAAAAGCAGTCTTAAAGCACTCAATGCCAGCACTGTTCTTTTCTCTCATTAAGAACTAAAATGTACTCAATTATGTATTTATAGAGGTCTCCTCTATTGGAAGAGACACCTCAACCTCTTATACCTGAACACATTTTCTGTATTGAACACACCTGAACCTGCAGAGCTTTTGTGTCCAGTAAGAGGTTTTAGCATTGCACTTCAGACTTCAATTCACTACTTGGGCATAAAGAAACACACTCATAATCTGGCAAATCCTTAATAAAACCACTTAATGGGTAGAGTGACAGTCACTAACTCATTTGCCCAAGGCCACAACAGTGGTACTTTTAGATCTCCTGGCTCCCAGATAGGTCCACACACATTTTCATGTAATTATGAACTCAGAAAAATATAACTTGCCTTCAGATTCTCCTCAAGGTGCAGCAGCAGATGGGTTTAGATTTGTTCTTTACGCTTCCTGTGTAGTGCATGCAGTCATGTCAGTCGCATCAATACCTCATGATGCAGCATAAGACAAGCATCTTCAAAAAAGATTATAAATACAGACATACACTCCCTAGGTACAAAAAGAGTCCTTCTGTTCTCTTAATCCAGGATTTCAATATAAAGAAAAACACATCATAGTCATATATCACTCAACAGCTTTCTTAGCTTGTTTTTTTTCCCCATTTATTAGTTAAAACAAATGCTACGAGTTTTCTAGCACCATCAGAGAAATCTCAAAACTCTTCCAAGCTCTCCTCCTCCAGAGGAGCTGGAAGCTGCACCATTATTCAGCCAGGTGACATCAACTCGATTTTCCACCCCCTGCCTCAGCTGCAGATCACTGCCATGGCAATGCCTTCTGATGACACACACTGCCACCTTGTGCTACGGTTTGGAACCACAAAAGCCTGAAGAGATACCACACATCCAGCTTTGGGTGTCTTAACCACATTTTCCACAGCCAGTGTCCCATAATAGAAATGTCTAAACTTTTATGCAACTAAGGCTGCAGCAGATGGAAGCCTCAATGGCCCCAAGGAGCAAATGTCACTCCTGCACTAA